ACTTTTGACAATAATCCCAAATTTGAAACATAAAGTACTTCTACAATTGGCTAATGATGCGGACAAAACATGCGCATTCCACGCAATAAACCACTGGTATAACAGTACAATAGCCCGGTCTAATGCATGAAGGCTGCGTACCTGGCATCGATACAAATTCCTCTGTCTCTGCCTCTCTCTCTATTTTGATGTAAGCCAAGTAATACTGTATACAGTACACACAGATGTGTAGTGAGCACTACTACACAGCAGCAATATATATATATTTTATATTATATATCCGCTGTGCAGTGCATTATAGATAGCACTGTACACGAGGTTGGTAGCGTGATGAGGTGCAACAGTCCTAAACGTGGCACATTCAGCACATTCAGCACTTAGCAGGTGAGCGAAACAAAGGACTTATCTCTAGTGTTATAGCTCTATAGCTTTGTAACGCTGGGAAACAAAGGGTTGGAAGCCAAGTATATTTTATCACGAGATTATGTTGTTTGAGTAACATCAATTAGGCAAGTTAAGAATATTATTATCGATAGTTACTGGACATTAAGCTATATCTGATCAGGTGAAAGCTGAAATAAGCCATGGAATTTTCAAATTTTATATTGCTCTTTGAAGCTACTACAATCATGACACATCACTTGCGATCCCTTGGAACTGGAACCATGAAATTCGGCACAAAGTATTTAGAGTATTTAAAAAATCAAATGCGGGGTTAAAAGGCCACTTCAGAAGACGTCACCTTTAAATATCTGTTTAAAACAAAATTTTCTGCATCATGACGTAAATATTTTCTCTATAATAAATAAGGTATCTTTCTAATACATTTCTTTGTAATAATAGAAAGGTCGAGTTACATGGTCAACCCTTACTTTTAAGGAGGAACTATTTTGTAGCTTATACGGGCAGAAAACCGTGTCCATGCTGTAACCTCCCGATTAGACGGCTTACTATATTTTAGTATGCAATATTCTAATAACTCCCCTGTAGGTCAGTTCAGGGCAGATTCATGAGAAGTTGCCCTGAAGCTAGGGACAACACCCGGATCACCATTTCCGGGGTTAGATGGGCAATCTGCCAAAATTTCATGAGTGGTCACTGCCTGTTTCTGTCTAGTTCTAATGTACCGTCACAATAGTGACTTTAATATGTACCTGCTTACATTTTATCCGCTATTAACTATTTCTAAAGTTTTGTTGGTTAAGCTACTGAATATATGGCTAAATAACTTGAATATTCAAAATCAATTTCTCAGACACCTTACCGGGACATAACCAAGAAAGTTAGATAATTTTAATGAGTTGGCATAAATTGGCTACTCAAGTGTCAAAATACGATTTAAATACCGTGGTAATTTAAACAGATTTGATGTGATCAATGATTTGATAAACTTGCAAACGGCGCCCTTCATCAGTTTGGCGTACTATCGCTAAATACTTGCAATTATTTTCATCTTTGGTTCAACGAATGGAGGGTCTTCAACAAATTTCATCTAAATATAATGTATCATGGCACACGGTAAGTGTAATTAGAGTAGGATTCAAAAGCTAAGAGAGAGAGAGAAAGAGAGAGAGAGAGAGAGAGAGAGAGAGAGAGAGAGAGAGAGAGAGAGAGAGAGAGAGAGAGAGAGAGAGAGAGAGAGAGAGAGAGAGAGAGAGATGGAAGCAAGCCAAGTAAAATTGGAAACTTGCCAACTGTGACTGACAAAGAGTAAGACCGTAAGAGGGAGAGATCATTGATGTGGAGGTTAACAGAGGGGGCCATTAATTACCGGCTCGGATAATCTGTAACCATGCTACCTGCAAACCTTTTAACCTGCGACCTGCAAACCGTTCAATCTGCACGACCAATTAACAGATCGGGGGAATGTTGCTGGAGTTGAGGTGAAACTTGTTGGAACAGTGGTTATGGAGAATATTACGAAGCGAAAAGACAGGCTAACTACAGTACAGTTTACAGGTAAACTATCTAACGACGCATAAATTTGATGAAGGAGCTGTGAAATACTGGCTGCTAACAGGAATATACTGCTGTGCGTGATCCTTAACCAAACCAAGAGTCAACTACGTGACCATGGAAATTGCTCGGTTAGCGTTGAATGTTGACTAATATGGTCAACATGAGCCCATAATCTAAACCAACGAGTAGCCAAGTTATTGTCAGAGAGTAACGTGGCTGTGACAAGATTTTCCAATTCAGCTCAACTTTAATTAGCCATGTTGACATAAATTATGGGCATAGCTTACATGTTAGGTTACGTGACCGCCGCTACAAACCATGGTTTCCCACGCAAAATATGACAAGTTATATTGTTGATGAAGGAGTTCCTCAGATTGTCTATAGTTGGGGATGGCTTCAAATTCTTGGATGCCAGTTCCTCACTTCCTGTCGAGGGAGTACATACAAATAAGATTTTGAGTTAACTATCAGTCTCGGCAACTACTAATTGATAGTTGATATAACTAGTAACATCTCGTGGGATCTGTGAATAGTTTTGCCGGGGGGGGGGGGGGGGGGGGGGGGGGACGTGACGTTGGGTGGTTTTTGGGTTTTTTTTCCTTTTTTTGATACTTTTTATCTAGTTTGACTACATTGAAAACAAGTACCGCAAAAGCCGGCAAAAGGGGGTGGGTGTCTTACTTATTATCTGAAAAAACAGTTAGTACTGCGAAGGGGGTGGGTGGGTCTATTGAAAAATTCCAAAATTACACTTAGTCGACGTCGCGTCCAAAACTTAGTACCTCATCCCCCCCCCCCCCGGTTTGGCCCTTGATTTAAACTCCTTAAAATCCATCCACGTGACCAAAACGGAACTAACCACAAGGCTCACCATAACCAACTCGCAATTATCTCACAACAATTATGTAACAGAATCTCATGCTGAAATTATTACCGTACGTGCACACTCAACACGTGCTATTATACACAGGACCAAGACGGTCTAACAATACTTGAGCCTCGTGACTGAGTACCTTCAACTAAAACCTCGTGACTGAGTACCTTCAACTAAAACCTCGTAACTGAGTACCTTGAACTAAAACCGCGTGACTGAGTACCTTCAACTAAAACCTCGTGACTGAGTACCTTCAACTAAAACCTCGTGACTGAGTACCTTGAACTAAAACCGCGTGACTGAGTACCTTCAACTAAAACCTCGTGACTGAGTACCTTGAACTAACACCTCGTGACTGAGTACCTTGAACTAACCCCGCGTGACTGAGTACCTTCAACTAAAACCGTGGTTAACTCTGTCACGGGTCTCTCACTCTCTTTCACTCTCCCTCTAGCTCTCGGCACATTTAAAGTCGTTTGTTTGTCATCCGATACTCGCACTAACCCAAACTTTATCTAATTTCAGAGATGAAAACATAATGACCGCGCTGCTGACCCTCAACAAAGTCAGGGCCGTTTTCCAGTCTTATGCTATAAATAACTTTTAATGTACACCACCTGCAGTCTTGTCTTCAGATTCATAACACTAACAGAGACCAACACATTTAATTTCAGGCCAACGGTCGTTCAATTATTTTAAAATAAGATAACATATCCCTCGGTCTACGGTTACGCCCTTGCGTGCATCCACAATAGAACAACTTATAGGATCAGTTTTAATAAGCACTTTCAATCAACACAACTATTAACAGTTTTGATGGTTCTAACAATACATAGTGCACTGGTTGCTTTCTCAATGACATCATTATCATATAATGGTAAATATAGTGGCAAATCAACGGAATAATGGTACAGCTGCTGAGAATCTGTGTTGGGCAGCAGTTTAAGTGATTTGGCATTTTTTACACAGTTATGTTATTTGTACGGGTAAAAGTAAAGAAATGTAGATGGTCAACATAATGGCAGAAACTAAAACAGCATACTTCAAAACTCAAAAGTGATCTAAGACTTACATACTATCCGATCCGACTAGATGGTCGTACGGCAAAAAGTGATGACTAATGACATTTATCTTGTATATTATAATTATAGAACTGTAAATTAGTGGCTCGTGTCTGACGAGTCAACCAGCTCAGCTAGGATGAACTGGGAATCGACTGATCGTGGCCTGACTTAGATACGATACAGATATAAGACTTCGTTTATAATCTTCGATAATTAGTACCACGATAATTACTACGATAATTAGCACTAATTGGTTCTAATTAGTGTGTCTCGTGGGAGTAATTACAAAATAACATTATCACGCGTGACGCTTTATTTTATTTCAGGTAAAAAACACTAATTTTACTGTCCATAAAATTGAATAAGGTCAACCGGGGCCGTAAATTTCTATGATATGCTAATGAATAGGTCACCATTCTATTGGACGTAATTGTGTAAAACCAGCCGCGGTAAATTTGTATTACATACCTGTCTAAATTCCGTTAAGTAACGTTTCACGAAAATTACGATGACCAATTTTTTGAAAAACATTTAATTTAGCCGAATTAATTGTCTGAAAGACAAAGAATACTAGTGGAGAAAATTGCTGGGTTCTAGACTGTAGAGCACTAGACTGCCACCCCCGGACTTATTTAAACTATTTAAATAGGATTGCAGTGGTGAGGCGAATAGCTTTTACTAAACAGCTTTCCGGCAGTGAAATGTGTTTTATTGATGGATATCTCTTAATATTGAGCCAACTTGCTCCGATTGTGGCAGTTGTGGAGCAGGTTTCTTAACCAATGGGGGAGGGTTACAACTTGGGCGATCCAGGAATAATTCGGTGATTATAGTTATTAAATCCATTAAAACGGCAAACGCGACCACTCCCCGGGCCCCACAAAATCTTTTCTTCTCCCATCCCCTCCCCAATCGTAATCAAAGCTATTTCAAACTTGACAAAAGGTGGGAGAGTAATGCAAAAGAAAATCGTGACAGAGATTCGTATATTTGATAAATCTCTTCTGTCAAATCTCAGTCACGAGGGAAAAAAAACTATTGATTTAGTCTCCCAAACTTAGTAATATCAGCTAATCAATAACCAATTTAGTAATTACACGAACCTGTTCAGTAGACGTGTCCTCGGATTTAGCTAGAGTATCTGAGTTGGTCTGAGTCCCCTGAGTGGGTTCAGGAGAAGGGACGGTCCCACTCTCGTCCTTTACTTCTCCCACCACGCTCTCCTCAGATGTTTTGAGGGTGCTGCTTGTTGTGGGGGTTAAACAGTTAGTGGGGGTCATGCAGGCCTCGTCAGTCACCACCACAAGAGGGGTCTGCTGAGCGCTCTGCAGAGCGGTTGGTGTTTTCTGGGTGGTGTTTTCTTCCAGCTGGGTGGTGTTTTCTTCCAGCTGGGTGGTGTTTTCTTCTTCCGGTTGGGTGACGGTAGGGGCCGGAGATTTGGAGGGGGTCGTGTAGGTGGAAGGATGGTGATCGTTAACGGGTTCGAGGCAGGGCGGCTTCATGACGTTTTCTATGATCCGAACATGTTTAAGTGAGGTAGGGTCAGGGGGAGAGCAGGCTTCGGATCCTGGCTTAATCATTGAGGTTGTGGAATCTGAAATAGAGGGTGTCTTAGAATGAGCAGGCTTCGGATCCTGGCTTAATCATTAAGGTTGTGGAATCTGAAATAGAGAGTGTCTTAGAATGATTGAAAAATGTAAATACATTTCATCTCGGTAAAACAAAAGTGTAGGATTTTACTAGCTTTTTCAAGGTGGTTTACACTCAGCGTATATATAATATATATATATATATACATTAAATATATATATTGAGGATAGAATTTCTCGAATTTCTCAGGACTTTTTATGATGTGATCAAACATTTCATTAAAGTACCTAAAGTAAGTACTAAGTATATACTTGATGAGTGAATAGCACTGATCTGATGGATACATGTGAATTGCTGCGATCTGTTGTATTCAAATGGGCAACTTGAATCATGAAATGCGGGTATGATTTGATCAAGATGGGAGGAGTCAAAAAGGAGTATCTCTGAAGTGCCTCCAACAGTTTGTATCCAGATTCTGCAACAGATTCTGCAACACTGCAATGTCACTCTAATTAACTACTGCATAACATCAGAACGCTAACTACGAGATAGGAGGCCCCACCCCACAGTCCACACCATCATTAAACCATGAATTATAAACATTGTGCATACACTTTCCGTAGCAATAATGAAGGCCGTTCAGATTGAACTCGACATCTTTTAAGAGCATTAAATAGAGACGTATTATAGAGCATCCTGTAAGCTGTTTTCAGGTGCATTGGATGCTACTTTTAGGATGGCGCATTAAACTTGTGGGATCACCTGTTTAAAATACACGTGAATGATGTCAGTCTAGTATCCGGAAAATAAATAATAAACCAAACATGAATGCCCAATGCATATTACTCAACTCTCAAGTTTGAACTGTATTCCAAAATGACGTGCAAACTCTCTGACGTGGCTATTCAAAAAAACTTGTAAAACTCAAACTTAAATCAAAACATGCATTAGAACCAGCATCATTACTTAGTACTTACCTCCTGTTTTTATGTAATACAAGTCCCCAATTATGACATTGGCAATTTGTTCAAAACACGCATTAAGGACTTTCCGACCAAGGGAGACCAAAGGATTATAGTACAACGAGTAACCACTTTTTTCTACCATATTTTCGAGGAGTTATAGCCCGAGGAGCAATTAGGCAGCTAGGAGCTGAGCGTGTTTTGAAATTCAGACAGCAAACAACGAAATGACACTAGAGAATGGTTAATTGGCGCTAATGCACATGACCAAGCTGAACATTTATAACTTCGTTAATAAGCTATCCCGCACTGTAACAGCAACACTCTCAGCGTTGCTCTTCCTGTCATCACCGACGCCGGATTTTTTGTTGAAATATTTTTAACTGAATGGGCGTGAAAGTGAATTCATCTGAAGTATACAAGCTGGAACACAGGTATTTATTGGGAGATGGCGTTGTTTGTGGGCGGAAATTCAGGACGAAACCGGTAATTTCGTGCCGTTAATTTAGGGATAACCTGAGCGGCTAATTGCTGGTTATCATTAGTATCACGTGATGTTCATTCGGGCGACGTGTGTACGAATTAGTGGACTTGTCAACAGTATCGTACGCAGTTTAACAGGGTAGGCTAGCAAGGCTCTTCTTCGCCATCATATAACATTTCGTTTATGGTATGCTATACTTCAGGCTTCCTACATGGAACACACCTACCGCCATATATAAAAGCAAAAGACAAGAAATGACAGTCTAAATTTGACAGTATATTTGCCAGGTTGAGAGGGACAGAGGGTCTTACCAGAAAAATGTATTTTGTAGAATGTTTCCTGTTTTTAGCTAATCGAAGTGGGACTCTAAGTCGGCGGGGTATTCAGCACAAAATGACGTGAGGTATTAAAAATGAGGGACAAATAGAAACCTGTGGATCAGGACATATGTGTAGTGTTTACTATTATGAGAAATGATGGTCTCCATAACTTTTTAAGCTGAAAGATGATTTCTCTACAAAGTGTAACTTCGGGGTTTCAGTGTCCAATATGATACTGAACTTTCCGGTCTTACAATATGTCAGTTGCCTCTCGCATAACCTGACTCTTAGCACGACTTACATAACCTAATTTGGAAAAGTTCAAACCGTAAGCCGACCCGTGGATTATGATATTTATCTGCACTAATACAGGTATCCAACCTGAACCATTAACCAGGCAGCCATTCCGAAGAACGAAGCCAGCTGTAAATATTCTTGCAAAAGAATTATCGATAGCCGAATAACGGGAAGGCAAATGGGTACGAAGAACGTCAAATTTATATACAACTACAAGTTACAGCGTTTCAGGTAGGACAGCTATAATTTATAAGGGATTGGTTTGGAATGCAAACTTGGTTAAACTGTTAAAGCTATTTTTCAGTGAGAATTAGTCAGTTGGGTGATAGTGGAGTTGTGACCGAGAAATTATCGTTTAATACGAAACAGTCGATAAACAGCGATAAAGAGCGAAATTCAATGTTTAATGTGACACTTAAATTTAAATTTACTTCAAGAGTTAAATTTGCAGGTTGACAGAACTAGCGGATACATACTTAGATGATACATACTAAGAGGATACATACTTACTATTTCGAAGATATGTATTTAGTTTTAGCTTGCTACTTTAAATTTTCAATCATGGAGACCCTATTGATATCATTATGCGATGTCGTTGTCATGGCAAAGATCACATCTGGCTGATGGTTTTCATTAAGGTTTTTGCACGTAATGTGCTCCAGCACTCCTAAACATCTACACAAAGTGCAAAGTATTTCAACAAAAAGCGTGACATTAATGTCATCCACATTGCCCTAAGAACCCGCGAGCCAAATAAACCCACACGAGATTAGTTTTCGTAGATTAAGTATGTTGCTGATACCGCTCGCCTTATCAAACACAAAGAGGTAGAAGTTTCGAATTTTCACTCGAATGTAGAGGAAGGCAGAGGTCCGGGAAGAGAGCCAGAGGACCCAGAGGAAGTAGGAGAGGCTGGAGAGGTAGGACACTGACACAATATTGCGGCAGTTAGTGATGGCGCCTACCATTTGAGCCTTCATTCTGGAGTGGGTGATGGAGGGTTACTTGAATGATATAAACAGTTAGTTAATGAAAAATTCATTTAAATAGGAAAAAATATCAGTTTGTCAGTGGCCAGTGTTATCGGAAATGGACCAACATTTACACATAATATAAGATGCCCAGAAATGAACTGAGACATGATCTAGGGATTAGACTGGATCTAGGAGAGAAGGAATGGGATCCAACCGGTTTTTTCACTGTTTATATAGTCCAGAGGCACGTCACTTGGCGACATAAGGTGTCAGATTAAAATGTTCATGGTTATTTCTTTGACATGATATCGTAGGGCACTAAGGCGTGCGATTATCGATTGATCGGTATACGGGATTCGCTCATCGCATCGCATTAAATTTAGCACCTTGAGTTCGACTAATGGAACCGTGAGAACGAGATCGAGATGATCAAAGCCGCATTTTTCTTCGTTACACAGCTTGGGTTGACCAGCCAAATAGGCACATAAAGACATAAAGTTTCAAGGTACAAGGTAAATTCAGGACTACCTATTCGCATCAGTACTCAGTGGACGAGGAATATTGAATCGTTGATTTTATAGTTTACGACTTTTTTCTCTGAGTCAAATAAACGATGTCATTAATCTGGCATTTCCATTTGTTACGGTTATATGCAGGACCGGCGGATTTAAGTAATTCTTGAGTAGCAGTCCAGACAGCACAAGTCGGGCCGGTATCTTCCAATTGTTAGAATCCTAAGGGTTAGCTAGACCTAAAAGCGATTTTATTAACATAACCTTTTTAATATTCAATTAGTAGAACTCATGCCATAATTTTTTTCAAGCGAGTTACAAGCTGCGCTAGACAATCGCATTATCACCACCATTATACCCACCGTCGAGTTGCTAAATACAAAGAAGCTATATCAGCTAAAACACGTACAGTTTAAAATAGTCGGCTTCTTTAAGTTTTTTGTGGTGAATTGTCATCTCCAAGTAAAATTAGAGATGGACGAAATACTAACTATCATGTCACTATAACAGTCTCAGAAGTATTCTGTTTTTGTGAAGGTTAAAATGTTCCAGTCTCCCACGATAATAGGCTAACTTCGGCTATATACTATCCAAACAACTGCCACAATTTGACCTTGACACAACAAAAACCCAGGCCTCTCATTCCTGTTTCTAATTACGCAATGTCCACTGCTACAATTACCTGTCCAATATTTTTTAGACGTGTCAAATTATCGCACCTTGTTATCTGGGCAATTATGCTCGCCTTTCCGCACAGGTTGCCAGATGCCAAAGACTGGTTAGATTAGAAATATCTAGGAAATTAGCCATCAAATACTAAGCTCTTTTGTCGATTAGTTCTTTTGTCAATATTATGGAAAAATGCCTGATTAGCTGAGATTTTTGCCAGATTGTATGATGACCGATGAGCTGCTCGATCACGTCCAGAAAGTCGGTAAATAGACATTATGAATTCTTGCAGAAACCTAATACCCGTAATAAATTGCATATTCACAACTTCAGGAGTCGTGCGTGGGGATGCCGAGGGGGAGCTGTAATCACATACAGAGACAAATTTGTATTAGAAGAGTACGCCTCATTAGTCCCCTATCTAGATCCCAGTCAAACAAGGAAACATAAACAGCAAAATGTTGGCATCCGGCCAAAATTCAAACTTACGGTTCATTGAAATTGTTCAGCTTTAAAACTGTTATTATAGCAGTGATGTTTGATATAACATTGTTGCTTTAATAGTTAACACCATCTAAATATACTCTACTATATAAAACCTGAAACACAACTATTCACTCTTGAGGCTTCTAATGCACTGAAATCAAAAAACTGCAATTGAATGGACAGAAGCGCTCATAAACGCTGTTAGTATAAACATCACGCTTACAATAATTTTCACGAGTCGTATTATAAATCCTAATTCTAAAATTCCTAGTTTCAACATGTAATCGAATGATCGCCTTTGCTGCCAAAAAACATTGATAAATAATTAGAATTGTGTGTTTAAAAGAGATGATTACAAATTATCATATCGTTCTTAAATCTATATATTTTTGTTAAACTTCCATGTGGTTAAGTATCAATGTCTAGGAATCTCTGTTGTAAACGTCAAAACACATGTTGCTATTAAGTTACATACGTAAATTTGGCTGATGACCAAGTTAATCCGGTATACCATTTGATGAGAAGTATTCGTGACACGATTATGTATAAATTGTACTCAATTAGCAAACGATGTGAAATTTAATTTCGATGATTGTATCAAACTGTGGTTTGCTGTGATTGGTTACACCAAAATCACCCGGTTGTGTCAAACTAATCTATTGTGATTTTGTTGTTTATCCTTTTATATGCATCACAGATTCTGTATCAAGCCACAAAAGATAAAAAATAGACGTAATTTGCAGTGTTGACTCTCAGATGGACGGGGTAGTAGACTACAACAAAAATAACTTTGAATTGCAAGAATTTTTTCATTTTCCGTGAACAATAACAAAAATGATCTATCAGCCATGTTTCATCAGGTGCACTATCTCAGTGTTGAATGCTATGTTGTGTAGTGAACATGCATTGGATGACGAAATGGAATTCCGAGTCCTGAGACACGGTGATAAATGAAAAAATCTGTGAATACAGTAGAATCTGTCAACAGGTAGATAGTGATGAGTAATCTCATGGTATCAATAGTACTCACCAACGCTGTTACTGTGTGCTCAAGCTGTATCTCTTCCAAAATCTAGCTTATTCGGAAGTCCGTGAGTAAGACGTATCCTTTGTCGCTGTATTGAATGAGCTTCTGTTTGGATATCATAAAAGGAAATAGCATTCTACTCTGATCGGATATAACGAGCCATCTTGCAACAAAAAACAACGTGGAACTGAGCCTCAATTATATACTAAATTCGTCGTATCAGGGGCACCAGCCTCTTCCACAGACGGGTCTTTTCTTATCCAACGCGACATTATCGAACGTTGCGCGCTAACAAACAAGAACGATCTTACTGAATGTTGTGACAGCTTTTCGCGTATTACAATATGCGCGGCTTATTAAGCTGTAAAAACACAAACCAACTTTATATTAACGAAAGTAATTAAATAATCTACAATATCTACGATAATTTAAAAAACGGGAAAAAATTGTTGTGAATTGTTAACATTTGTAATTTATCCATAATTAGCAAAGGAAAAAATCACAAATAAACTAGACAACATACTAAATAAAAAGTGTACTGTTGGACATCATTACAATTACAATGATTACATATAGAATTGATATTATGATTAGAAATAATCATTTATAAAAATATATTCAAAAAATTTATGCGTTAAAAATAAATTTTAAACAAATGAATTTAAAAAATGAACAATATTGTTGCGAATTTCATGAACAAAAATTACGCTGCGCATTTTCAATCTCACTCGCATACAAGTTTGAAGATGTTAAATCGAGCGCCACGAAATATTTCCTAACTCTATTCATGTTATTGCTATTAAATCATGTATGCAAATTTGGCTGACAGTAGTGTTACACTGTTTTTTCTCCTTAATGTTCAGTCGTCATTTTGACAAGTGGATATATGACGAAAGTGAACATGACGAATATGAATGTGAATATGACAATGAAGAAATCAGGAAGAATGTTTAAAACTAGTTATAGTGATGATGTTAATATGTAATTATTCTTAATCTTCTTAAAATCTAAAGGCACTTATTTACCTCATTGTAGGCAGATTGATCAAAGCGAACTGGGGCCACAAGTTCCCAGTTGGGAACTCTGCTGCGGCTACCGAATTGATTGAACATACAAGAGCCAATGGACATGGTTTGTACTTATAATACCTTCTTTAAGGGGGCAGGGGGGGGGGGGGGGGGTCTTTATGAAATTTCTCTCGAAATTGATTTTATAGTTGTTTCTAATGGAGGGGAGTGATATCTATCTGCTACTTTTGGTCCCATGGAAAAATATTGTTCCTAGCCGAAATTATTGCCGGTCAAAGGTCAGCGCTCATGTGTAATTGTATTGCGCGAGCGATTTTCAATCGCGCGCCCTGAAAATCGAGTCTAAAAATCTATCTCCTCCTACATTTTTTGAGCAATCACCTTGAAACTTTCAGGATATGTTCTAAGGACCATTTAGAAACTTTTACTCTTTTTAGAATTTTGAGATAGGCCTTTAAAAATTTTTTATTTCATTTTGAAAATCTTGGACCTCTTTTTTTGACGATTTTTCCAGGTCGAAGATTTTCAAAATAAAGTAAAAAATTTTTAAAGGCCTATCTCAAAATTCTAAAAAGAGTAAAAGTTTCTAAATGGTCCTTAGAACATATCCTGAAAGTTTCAAGGTGATTGCTCAAAAAATGTAGGAGGAGATAGATTTTTAGACTCGATTTTCAGGGCGCGCGATTGAAAATCGCTCGCGCAATACAATTACACATGAGCGCTGACCTTTGACCGGCAATAATTTCGGCTAGGAACAATATTTTTCCATGGGACCAAAAGTAGCAGATAGATATCACTCCCCTCTATTAGAAACAGCTATAAAATCAATTTCGAGAGAAATTTCATAAAGACCCCCCCCTGCCCCCTTAAATTATATCTGGTAATCTGTGAAATATTAACGACCAGGAACCATAATAAATCTCTTTTTTGTACAATTTTCCACTAGTTACTAATATAAGATAACTTAAACTAATATTCCCAATTATTGCAGAGTGTCTTACAATTGATAGTTCAAGAGCTGCTATCAGACCCAAAATTGCTCCGAGATGAACCTGCGATGGAACGTTTTCAAGTTGTCTATTCAAAAATGGAAGACTTACTGAGACGTTATGGGAATGTTGATGATCAACACTTTCAGGGTACTTTGAAAGAAAAGGTGTACTCATTTCTGATTTCACATGCCCTAAAGCATATTTCCTCAAAAGACAATTCACCTCTTGGTGTTGTACGGCATGAAGGGAGTCAATATGAAATCCTGCCTACAACTGAAATAATGAAACTCATAAATGAAAAAATTACAGCTGGTAGTACCGAAGGAATGAACCTAATTCACCTCAAAACAGGTTGCTTAGATGTTCCTTCCTTTTGTGTACAGTTGAATCAAAATCAGAAAGCCCAAAAACTCGAGCGAAGAAAAACGAGACTCACTGAATTCAGAAAAATATGTAGTGAAATGCTATTGCCACCAAGCAATGCTGATATTGCATATCCGTCTTTTGTCAGTCCCTTGTTTAGATGGGAAGGAAATTTAATCCACAGCATAAAGTTTATCGAAACAGTTAAAAGGGGTACAAAGCCTAAAGAACCTGATAGAAAGCAAGGTGATGAAATTTGCAAGAATACTGAAATCAGTCCAACTTTAAAGCATGTTAAATCTCCAACTGTTGGTGCTAATGAGGATGATAACACTATTAATATAGATGAGATATCTGAGGAGCAGAAGTTAAGAAGGAAATTAAAAAATAAGGTTAGAAACCAACGTAGAAGCCAGAAAAGAGTCAGGTTGAAAACCTCTTTTATTGGGGAAAAACCAGATGAAGTAACACCATCTACACCGACATCAACCGCTCTTATTACAGCAGCAAAGCCTGCTATGCCCAGTTACATAATATCAGAGGGAGTACAAAGCGAATCCCACACCAATTCCATATTTGCAGCTACCAAATTGTTTCTCAATACTAATCGCAATCCAGCTCGTCTTGAAAAAGATTCTCATTATGTTTGCTGGTTTGATACTTCTGATGGGCAATTTTGCTACAGGAAAGTAAGTTTCAGCATTATATGATTTAAAAGATAAAACATCAGAAACAAATCCTGATTGTGTATATTTTTAAAAGTTGTGACTGAATGCAAAAATGTTGCTTACTAATAGATGATTAATCTATTTAATCAGTTGTTTTTTTACAACGTCAAACTAGGAAACTTACTTTTACAGTTCTGAATTGTTCATCTTGCCAATTATCGATCGACTTTCTCGATACATTATTCAGAAATGTTTATTGAATATTGATATGTTGCACCATAAAATTAATTAAATTATATAGTCAATAACTTTAACCATTAAATTTCAGTTATTACGAACGTGTAGAACCAAGAAAACATTGAGACACGTCCCCTATCAGAGTTTTAAAAACGAACCACATGATACGAACAGCTCTCCTGTCATCAAAATTGATTTTGAACTGCTGCAAACAAACAGTATAATAGAGCAGTCTCTAGCGGAAATGAAGGGTACTTGTGTTGCGAATACTTTACCCCCCAGCACAAATGAACGTCCCCCTTGGAATCCAGTTTATGAGAACTTGTACATTATGGAGGTTCAGTCGGTTAGTTTAATCTTAATTACCCGTTTAAAGGTTATTATCTTTACCACACAGTCGATAACATATGTTAATTATGTGTTGGGGGTAGAAACTGGGGATATTAAGTTTAAATTTGAAAATTAGTAAATAAGAGCATCATGCATAATTTAAGGCACAAATATCTGTGTTAATTAAACCTAATATTGTTGTTTCAGAACCGACAGCACGAAGAGCACTGGTCTTCAAAAGTTGCAATTTGGAAATACCCGATGTATTTCGATGCAATTCCAATAGAAATTCGCTCAGGATGAATAACGATTATAACAAACAGATTAAACACTGCTGAGTATAAGTTTTATCTTAAAAGTGCAAGTGGTGCAAGTGTTATTACACAGGTCATAGATTGCTTGTTAGGGGGTCTAAACTGCTTTTTGTGAATTTGTGGATTTTATTTTTAGTTGACCATTTCAATCTATTGAATTGGTTTATTCATTTTTCGAGGGTGCTTATCCTTATAGCTAGACAATTGCCATTGCTGAAATTATCTGTATACTGTTTGAAACATTTATATTATACATAGTTTTATATATGTAGTAAGGCAACAAGTTCAATATTTACATAAAAATCTGACATGTGTTGCAAAGATAAAATAAACATCTTTTGAATTTTTTTGAATTCATAGTTTTTTTACTTATTAATTTAATTTCTACTAATATACAGTGGCGTAACGAAAGGCCCTGCTGACCCCGCTGTGCAGGGGGCGCTGTCTTAGGGGGGCGCCAAATCGTCGTTTGAATGTGGGACAATTTCGAAAACTTAACTAAAGTACTAGCAAAACTGCGCGTTTTGCTCTAGATACACACTTTTTTAGAGATTTTACCAGCGTATTCTTTAAAATCACCTAATTTGTTCAATTTTAGGGAGGGGCACCAAAAGAGGAGGGGGCGCCAACAGGGGGCGCTTTTTTCGGCAGGGGGGCGCCAACAGGCAACGTTACGCCACTGCTAATATAATATGTAAATAAGTTATGACAATTATGTTAAAATTTGTTTGTTTTTTATGATGAAGGCTTTGAAATGTTTACAGTTCTGATAATGAAATTAGGAAGAATGTTTAAAACTAGTGATGATGTTTATGTCATGTTATTCTTAATCTAAAAAATTGAAAGGCACTGATTTACCCCAAGCTAACCGGCTGATCATTGTAGACATATCGATAAAAGCAAACTGAGGCCATAAATTCCCAGTTTTGGAACTCTGCTGCGGCTACCAAATTAATTGAACATACAAGAGCCAATAGAAATGGTTTGTACTTATAATACCTTCTTATTAATATCTGGTAATCTGTGAAATATTAACGACCAGGAACCCTAATAAATCTTAAGTGCTCCACTTTTTTATACAATTGTCCACTACTAAGATAATTTAAACTAATGTTCCCAATTATTGCAGAGTGTCCTTACAATTGATAGTTCAAGAGCTGCTATCAGACCCAAAATTGCTCCGAGATGAAGCTGCGATGGAACGTTTTCAAGCTGTCTATTCAAAAATGGAAGGCTTACTGAGACGTTATGGGAATGTTAATGATCAAAACTTTCAGGGTACTTTGAAAGAAAAGGTGAACCCTTTTCTGATTTCACATGCCCTAAAGCATATTTCCTCAAAAGACAATTCACCTCTTGGTGTTGTACGGTATGAAGGAGGGCAGTATGAAATCCTGCCTACAACTGAAATAATTAAACTCATTAATGAAAAAATTACATCTGGCAGGTACCGGAAGAATGAACCGAATTCATCTCAAAACAGGTTGCTTAGATGTTCCTTCCTTTTGTGTACAGTCGAAAAATCAGAAAGACCAAAAACTCGAGCGAAGAAAAATGAGACTCACTGAATTCAGAAAAATATGTAGTGAAATGCTATTGCCACCAAGCAATGCTGATATTCCATATCCGTCCTTTGATAGTCCCTTGTTTAAATGGGAAGGAAATTTAATCCACAGCATAAAGTTTCTCGAAACAGTTAAAAGGGGTACAAAGCCTAAAGAACCTGATAGAAAGCAAGATGATGAAATTTGCAAGAATATTGAAATCAGTTCAACTTTAAAGCATGTTAAACCTCCAACTGTTGGTGCCAATCAGGATAATAGACACTATTAATATAGGTGCAATATCTGAGGAGGAGAGGTTAAAGAGGATATTAAAAGATAATGTTAGAAACCATCGTAAAAGCAACAAAAGAGCCTTGAAAAGAGCCAATATTAATCCCAATCCAGCTTGTCTTGAAAAAGATTCTCATTATGTTTGCTGGTTTGATACTTCTGATGGGCAATTTTGCTACAGGAAAGTAAGTTTCAGCATTTAAAAGATAAAAAATCAGAAACAAATCTTGATTGTGTATATTTTTAAAAGTTGTGACTGAATGCAAAAATGTCGCCTACTAATAGATGATTAATCTATTTATCAGTTGTTTTTTTACAACATCAAACTAGGAAACTTACTTTTACAGTTCTAAATTGTTCATCTTGCTAATTATCGATAGACTTTCTCGATACGTTATTCAAATTGACTATTGATATTTTACACCAGCTCACCATAAAATTAATTAAATTAAATACCTTTTACCATTAAATTTCAGTTATTACGAACGTGTAGAACCAAGAAAACATTGAGACACGTCCCCTATCAGAGTTTTAAAAACGAACCACATGATACGAACAGATCTCCTGTCATCAAAATTGATTTTGAACTGCTGCAAACAAACAGTATAATAGAGCAGTCTCTAGCGGAAATGAAGGGTACTTGTGTTGCGAATACTTTACCTCCCGGCACAAATGAACGTCCTCCTTGGAATCCAGTCTATGAGAACTTGTACATTATGGAGGTTCAGTCGGTTAGTTTAATCTTAATCAACCTTTTAAAGGTTATTATCTTTACCACACAGTCGATAACATATTATGTTAATTATGTGTTGGGGGAAGAAACTGGGGATATTGAGTTTTAATTTGAAAATTAATAAATAAGAGCATCATGCATAATTATATGTAGTTATCTAAGGCACAAATATCTGTGTTAATTAAACCTAGAATATTGTTGTTTCAGAACCAACAGCACGAACAGCACTGGTCTTCAAAAGTTGCAATTTGGAAATACCCGATGTATTTCAATGCGATTCCAATAGAAATTCGCTCAGGATGAATAACGATTATAACAGACAGATTAAACACTGATGAGTATAAGTTTTATCTTAAAAGTGGGGCAGGTGTTATTATTAAACTTCAATTTATTATTATCATTATATATATTATAAGGAGTAAGTTTGTGTTGACGCCCTATAATTTTTAACGTCAAGTTATATTTTTAATTGTGATCTCTAGCTCTTGATTTAAATGAGATTTGAGAAATAATTACTACTGGTATCAATCTGTTAAGGGATCGTTCAAATATTATGTAATTATGAGGGAGTTGGTTTAGAAAAGCTTTGTAATATCTACATAACAGATCCATGCATAAAGTGGCAATACGGAGGGAGAAGGGTTTAAAATGGCTAAAAAGTAATTTACACAATATGTGAACGATCCCGGCCCTCTAAATTCGATAAACATGAATGTCAATATTTTGTTTCCCTTTGTAGTTATTTGTATGCTATGTTGTAAGACAAACCTCTTAGCAAATATGTCACGAGCAGAAGCCCAAGAATATCAGTTGAATTCACCGCCAACAGATGGAATTTCTAACGTAACCTTTGGACCCAATAACTTTCTTCTCGTTTCTTCATGGGATTCGGTAAGTTTAGTTGTTACTTGCGAATAAATAATTATAAATTTACACTCAAATCATGAAATTAATTCAATTGCGATCTTTATGCTTATATTTATAATATTATTTAAACGTTTCTTTTTACCAATCATCATGATCACGATAATCATCAGCTACTTTACTCGCAACTTTACCACTGCCTCCCAGAGTACCAGACTATACGATGTTGCGAACAATCACCTCCGAGCCAAGTTCGATCACCAAGACGCTGTGCTGGACTGCTCCTTCATAACTGCTACCACAGCTCTAGCTGGAGGACTGGACGGACAGTTGAAGATGTTTGATTTTAACACCCATTCTGACAGGGTTATCGGGTATCATCAAGATGCTATTAAGTGTGTGGAGTGGAACAGCGAGGTTAATCTAGCAGTCTCAGGTTAAAACCAGAATATCTTTTTAACAGGATAATACTGTTTTTCATTTTCAATACCATGTACTAATTAATCCTTTTTAAGCACATGAATTAGTTTAATTACTATCTCTGTTGATTCAATATTTTATTCCATATTATCCCTTCTAAGATTTGTTTTCTAAGACTTATGGTCCTAGATTGCTATGTGTTAGATAAATTCCAGATTCTACAGTAAATGTTATTTAATTATTTATTCATATAATCTATGTGATATAAATCTGGATTATTGAAAGTTACAATTACCTGAAATTAAGTATTCAAAGTAAGTAATCTCATTGTTGATTTTACATATAACAATTTTTCAGTATTTTCTCTCTGAGTAATTAAAATTTTATATCAACTTAAGGTTCGATGTTATGATTTAAACGATTTGTATTCATGAAATTTTTTAGTAATGTTGACAGTAATTTCGACGGTGGCAGGAGTCAATTTTTACTTCGTTAGATCCATTCTAAGAAATTCCTGACTTGGATTACAGGTAAGGTATCGAACGGGCAGACAGTCGTCTGATAAGGAACAGAGTGCCACAGTCAGACGTCTGATCACCGCTGCTTTCCCCAACAAGAAGGGCTACGTTCTGTCGTCCTGTGAGGGTCGTGTTGCTGTTGAATACCTTGATCCTAATCCTGAAGCTCAGAAAAAGAAATATGCGTTTAAGTGTCACCGGATTAAGGAAGAAGGTATGGAAACTATCTACCCCGTCAACACCATATCATTCCACAGAAGATACAACACCTTTGCCACTGGTGGGTGCGATGGCTTTGTTAATATTTGGGACAGTGAGAATAAGAAGAGGCTATGCCAACTCCATAGACTCCCAACCTCCATTGCATCGCTTAGCTTCAATGACGACGGAAACATGTTAGCTATAGCTTCTTCGTACACATTTGAGCTGGGAGACAAGGAACATCCGGCTGATCAAATTTACATCAGACAAGTCAGCGATGCTGAAACAAGACCTAAATCTGTTTCTTGATGTGATGAACTTTATTTTAAGTATTAATATATTGGATGATGCGCCAATTATTTGGGTCAATAATAACTTAATAATTTAATTTATATATTGGCCAAATATCGTTAATAACTAAGAGCTGTTTAATTTGTTTTTAACTTTTAACATTACGATGTTATCATGGCGCCCAAACTACAGAATATAGATTTACCGAGAAAATATTTGCCTTGAAGAAACGAAAATAATATTTTATTCGTTCTATACCTGGTTATTTTGGTCTATTCTTTACTGTATTATCATTATTCAATTAAACAACCCTGTATCTGTTGACTTTCAAAGAATGTATTCTTATTTTCTTGACAAAAATCCTGCTACTTAAAAATTGAAAAGCTGAAGTTTCGTTCTTAAAATGTTGCTTACTCGCAATTAATTATTGATCTTACCTCAATGAGTTAGAATAGCTATGAATATTGGGTATTGGTTATAGCGAGGAGGTAAGCTATATTTTTGTCTGACACGTGTCAGCGAGTAACCAATCTGCTTCCAGCAATGACCAATCAAATAACAGGTCAAAATCACTGTACGTGTTCCAGAATCACTGCACGTGCCCCAGAATCACTGCACGTGCCTCAGAATCACTGTACGTGTCCCAGAATCACTGTACGTGTCCCAGAATCACTGTACGTGTCCCAGAATCACTGTACGTGCCCAGAATCACTGCACGTGCCCCAGAATCATTGTACGTGTCCCAGAATCACTGTACGTGTCCCAGAATCACAGTACGTGTCCCAGAATCACAGTACGTGTCCCAGAATCACAGTACGTGTCCCAGAAATACTGTACGTGTCCCAGAATCACTGCACGTGCCCCAGAATCACTGCACGTGCCCCAGAATCACTGCACGTGCCCCAGAATCATTGTACGTGTCCCAGAATCACTGCACGTGCCCCAGAATCACTGCACGTGCCGCTATTGAAAACAAATATATAGCTCACCTCCCCGCTGCAAGTTCACATCTATAAAATATAATATTAGTTTGAAATGTGATACAGCTAACACTAACAGCAACGATTATAAATCTAATATATTCTAGGTATATGGGCACCAGTCCAAGTAAGTGTTCGCCTCACGGGATAGAATGGCAGGGAAACATCACATACTACCAATACGGCCCTATTCAGCCTGACCGCGAACAACTGATGACGCAAATCCGCAAAGGTAGGATTATTCAAATACGTCTGTACAAAGTCGCTCTGAGTAATGTGATGTGGTTTGCAGATGGTGTGCTTTTTCATGCTTTTGTCACGTTCAGGACAGTTGATAGTAGCGGGGAATGGTGGTGGTCCTTAGAGAAAAACCAGGCATCTTTGGTGTTACAAAGGAGCAGAGTTGAAGCTGACGTAAAAGATATGCTTAACGGTAGAAAAAGACGTAGCTTTGTTAATCCGAAAAAATTACACGATATCTCGGATCGTGATACAAAGTTCATGTTTCTTCATTCATACATAATAATAACCAATCAGTTAGGGGTTGGGTATAAGTTTGCTGAAGAGAACTGTAAGGGGTTTGCTAAAAAAGTGTTTGATTTCGTTGCCAAACCAATAAGTTGGGACTATGATCCTGAAAATGATGTTAAAATGGTAACTTCACTGCTGATCTTCCTTTCAATTCCAATAGTCGGTTTATTGACTAGGAAACTGCGAAGTTGAGCGCCTCGTTTTGGGGAACTATTTTTATCATTAAACAAATATTCATATGTAATTTATGCCACATTGGTTATTTTTAACTGAAATAATTTGCTGGCACTCCCGGTTATATTTACTTGATTTTTACATCCTATTTATGATCGATTCATTATATTATATTACATTTGTTTATCGACTAAAAATATTTATTGTAAACGATAGTTAATAATTTTTCAGTTTCATGTTCATCATATTGTATCTTTTCATTCTTGCCGATTTCATTAATTGAATGTGTTTTTATGTGCGCTATTATATGAATTTTCGGCGTATCTTATTTTATCATATTTGATGCGGAATTAATCGTTACATAGAGGTTCGTGTACCAGAATGATTTCTTACCGAAATGTTAATGAACAATTAATCAAATAGGTATTTTTATGTGAGAAGCTGATTATGATAGGATGTTGAAGAAATTAAGTAAATAAAATTACACAATACCCATACATGATTAGCTTACACAATACAATTGTTAACCTTGGGTAATGTCACTTCAAGTCTTCGATTATAATCCACATCATATTGTCATTGAGCCTCAGTGACAAGTGTATTTCAGGATTTTCATCGATAATTTATTAATTTCCTAATATCTTCTGACTTTGCAGCCAAGTATAACGATGTTGGTGGCACTGCTGATAGTGGTGCCTGTCACCGCCCTGTTTCTAGCCTGGTTCTATCTTTTTAGAAACAACACTGACATTCCTGTCTCTCCCGGTTCTAAACCAATTGTTGGACACATGCACCACTTCATGGACCTTACCAAGGACACTCTTTATCTGTACGTTCTCATTCTCACTTTGATTTTTCATGAAAAGTACTGCTGTTCATTCATTGTTTACATTCGAACCCCTTTAAAATGAAAAGCTACTATGAATGTTATTAAAAGTTGCAAACAACATTTGAAATATCCGACCATTTTGAGATCTTTTCAGATTTGAACAGCGATATTTCGAGATGACAGACCCAAAGAAAACAGGATCGGTGTCTCACATAAAGTTCTTTTTTCAATCGAATTTCTCCCTGAACACTGTAACTGCAGCTGAACCCCTCCTCAAATCGAACGTTAACATCAACAAATCCTTCCAATACGATGCAATTTCTGGGTAAATTAATTTCTATCCTGTATTCTTAGCTGAATCAGATTGATTGGAAATAAGTAATAAAGTGTAGCGTTGATAGATTTCCAGATCATAATCAAATCAATAGATAACAATTAATGATAGATGGTTCCGGATGGTTTCGAAATTCGGTTTTTCACTTCCCATGTACATTGCATAATGGGCACAATAGTTCTTTATAGGATCATATCATGATAGTTTCTAGTTCCACAAGCACATGATCACATCTTCTAATTTATAAATACATCAGGTGGCTGAAGAACAGTGTCCTCGTACTCCCCGGACAAGAATGGCAAAAACGACGTAAGATGCTTACTCCTGCTTTCCATTTCAACGTCCTGGAAGACTTCTCCGAAACGATGAAAAAGCACGCCAGTTTGTTTGTTTCGTTGCTGAAAGCGGACCCAACCAAGCTTATAGTGGAAGTTATAGAGGAAGCCACATTTTATAGCTTGTGCGAAACTTCTTTTGGTATTGAGTTCGAAAGTAGAGAGGAAGCAAATGCCCTCTTTGCTCCCATGGCGTCCCTGACGGCCGCATTTGCGATGAGAACATCTTCCCAAAACCCCTTAATCCAGTCCGATTGGTACTACAACATGACTGAGGGTGGAAAGCTTTGGAATTCTTCTGTAAATGAGTTGAACAGACATATAATGGGAATGATAAACAAGGCGAAAAAGGCATTGGAGTTGGGTGAAACTAGGCTGCACAAAGGAAAACGAGCATTCCTGGACCAAATGGTTTACGAACAAGCTGAGCGAGGGGAGATAACTGATGAGGCAATGATTGGAGAGTGCAACACAATACTACTTGCTGGTCATGCCACCACTACTGGAACCATAGCTTTCTGTGTATACTATCTTTGTAGGCATCAAGATATCCAGGAACGTCTTTACAAGGAAATCGCTGACCACCTGGATGGTAAGGACATTGATGATATTGATCATGGAAGTTTACCGTACCTAGGAATGGTTGTTAAGGAAACCTTGAGGCTACAGCCCCCAGGTTCTATTATCGGACGCAGGCTAACTGAACCAATGGATGCTGATGGTCACATGCTTCCCGCTGGAACCAACCTTGACGTATCCATTTGGTGGCTTCACCGAGATCCTGAGCATTGGGACAACGCCGAGGAGTTTGACCCAGAAAGATTCTCAGAGGAAAACTCCCGAGGCAGAAACCCCTACGCATTTGTTCCTTTTTCTGCAGGACCTCGCAATTGTATAGGTCAAAGATTTGCCAATGTTGAAACACGTTTGTTCATTGCAGCTTTGGTTTATAACTTCAAAATGAATTCAGAGCAAGAGCTCGGCAAAGGATTATTTAGGAATCTCCATAATGTATCTGCTGTTCCTGGTCCGGACTTCAAAGTTGACTTCGCTCCCAGGGTTTAAGATTCAAGATAAGAGATTATAAAATATGAAAAATACATTATAGAATGTTAAAAGAGTATTAAATCAAAAGTAATTTTAATGTAGTTGCACTAATTATGTACAGCGATTATCTACCATAGAATTCTAAGAACATGATTGGTGATGTGCTTTGAATGAATCGCATGCATACTGAATAGTTCTGAATATACTATCTTCTCATCATGCTCTGGAGTCTGGCCTCTGGCTAACAATCGCCATTTAAACATCTTATCAGCACAAAGAATGATTTAACTTTAAGAGGAGGGCTTAAGAGTGTTCTTCGCTTATCTTTGTTTAGGATGTATAACTTTAGGAGCGAATTTTGAGAGTTCTGCTGTTTTCTATTACTCATTAGCCTCGAAGTCTCCACGAGTCCCTTAGTCCCAGTTGGTCTTTTGGTCATGTTTCCAATATATACAGGTGCTGTTATGGACCTTGAATAAATCGACCCTCCCTTATTTTAATGTACAGTCAAGAATCAGTGTAAGTTAATTTAAATCATGATTTTATTTTAAAGGATTACTTCTACAATGTTCAGTTATAGCATCTTACATCTATATAATAAATGTCAGTATTATTTATATTTGGTATCAGTGTTTAATGTTTATGTTAGTGTTTATTATTTTTATCATTTTAAGCATGTACAGTTTAGATTACATTACAGTGCACGTGTTTGGATATTTTGCAGTACGAAAAATAAAAATCGACAAAATATTTAGATGAGCTTGACTCTCTATACAAATATTTAGCGTTCATAGAAATTGTAAGTCTGACGAACAATTAACAGAAAAGTATTTCGTCTGATTTTGAAATGTATGTCATTTAAAAACATCAGTGAATTTTTCTTAGCAGCAGAATAATTAGAGTGTGCTATGTTTGTAATTATCTTTTAGATTTGATTTTTAACTTCCATTGTCAAGCTGTATGTCATTGAAAATGGAATTATCAGAAATTTGTCAGAAACGTCATTAAAACGTGTTAGAAATTTAAAATGTGTATTTTTTTATTAGATTTTTAGTTTGCATTTTTATCCGGATTCGTTTAATTGAGATTGAACATACAATGACTTAGCGTGAACCAAGACTATGAGATTAATTGTGATGAATTGGAATGAGGGACATTCGTATGAGATGACCTTAGCCATAGTGCTATAGCTCAATTGGTTAATTTATCACTTCTTTAACTTCATTCTGATACTGTTATTGGAAAACTAATTTTAGATTTAGCTCAACTACCTTGCAATAATTTATCAATTGAAGTTAATATTTTCTGACTTTGCAGCCAAGTATAACGATGCTGGTGGCACTGCTGATAGTGGTACCTGTCACCGCCCTGTTTCTAGCCTGGTTCTACCTTTTTAGAAACAACACTGACATTCCTGTCTCCCCCGGTTCTAAACCAATTGTTGGACACATGCACCACTTTATGGATATCACCAAGGACACACTTCATCTGTACGTATTCAAAGTACGGTTTAATTTTTAGTTCGTTCTATGGAATAAAGTTTTGGTTATTCTGTAGATATGACTAAATTTCGCCTCACTTTGATTTTCCATGTAAAGTACTGCTGTTAATTCATTGTTTACATTAGAACCAATGAAAATCTATAATGATCGATGTTGTTAAAAGTTGCAAATAATTCAAATATCTGACCACCTTTTCAGATTTGAAGAGCGATATTTCGAGATGACAGACCCAAAGAAAACAGGATCGGTGTCTCACATAAAGTTTTTCTACAAATCAAATTTCTCCCTGAACACCGTTGGAACAGCCGAGAACCTCCTCAAATCAAACGTAAACATCAACAAATCCTTCCAATACGATGCAATATCTGGGTAAATTAATTTCTCTCCTGTATTCTTAGCTTAATCAGATTGATTGTAAAATAAGTAATAAAAGCATCATAAAGTGTAGCGTTGATTAATTTCCAGATCATAATCAATTTTGATTTTCCTCTATATAATATGATATAATATCCATAATCTATATTATGTACAAAAATCATCTAAGACAGATAGCATATTATGATATATGGTTGTTTATTTTTGTATCCCACATGATTAAATCTTTCTAATTTCGAAATACATCAGGTGGCTGAAGAACAGTGTCCTCGTACTCCCCGGACAAGAATGGCAAAAACGACGTAAGATGCTTACTCCTGCTTTCCATTTCAACATCCTGGAAGACTTCTCCGAAACGATGAAAAAGCACGCCAGTTTGTTTGTCTCGATGCTGAAAGCGGACCCAACCAAGCTTATAGTGGAAGTTATAGAGGAAGCCACATTCTATAGCTTGTGCGAAACTTCTTTTGGCATTGAGTTCGAAAGTAGAGAGGAAGCAAATGCCTTCTTTGCTCCTATGACATCCCTGATGATAGAATTTTTTAACAAAACTGCATCCACAAATCCATTGGTGTGGGTCGATTGGTACTACAACAGGACGCAGGGTGGCAAACGCTGGAATTCTTCTGTAAATGAATTGAGCAGACATATAATGGGAATGATAAATAAGGCGAAAACGGCATTGGAGTTGGGTGAAACTAAGCTGCACAAAGGAAAACGAGCATTCCTGGACCAAATGGTCTACGAACAGGCTGAGCGAGGGGAGCTTACTGACGAACAAATAATCGGAGAATGCAACACAATATTACTTGCTGGCCACGCCACGACTACTGGAACCATAGCTTTCTGTGTGTACTATCTTTGTAGGCATCAGGATGTCCAGGAACGTCTTTACAAGGAAATCGCTGACCACCTGGAAGGTAAGGACTTTGATGATATTGAACATGGAAGTTTACTGTACCTAGGAATGGTCGTTAAGGAAACCTTGAGGCTCCAGCCACCTGCTTCTACCATGGGTCGCAGGCTGTCTGAACCAATGTATGCTGATGGTCACATGCTGCCCGCTGGAACCAACCTTGACGTATCCATTTGGTGGCTGCACCGAGATCCTGAGCATTGGGACAACGCCGAGGAGTTTGACCCAGAAAGATTCTCAGAGAAAAACTCCCGAGGCAGAAACCCCTACGCATTTGTTCCTTTTTCTGCAGGACCTCGCAACTGTATAGGTCAAAAATTTGCCAATGTTGAAACACGTTTGTTTATTGCAGCTTTGGTTTATAACTTTAAAATGACGTCAGAGCAAGAGATCGGCAAAGGATTGTTCAGGAATATACAAGGTGTTTCGGCTGTTCCTGGTCCGGACTTCAAAGTTGACTTCACTCCCAGGGTTTAAGATAAACATATTAATTAGAATACAAGTTCTAGAAGAGGGATTGTGAGATACAAATTATATTATGTATAATTGTAGAAGAGTATAAGCTTACTGCAAGCCGAGAGCTATGGGATCCAGTCAGGAAAAGTAATTTTCTATTAGTGGTAAAAAAACCGGGCACATTCTGGGACTTGCCTCATTTTGTTGTAGGTTTATAACCTACCAGGATGCGCGCCGAGTTGGACTCGTCGAGTATCACCCGCTAACTTATTTTGCTGCACAGAGTTAGAGTCAGAGTAGGCGTATTTTGAATTACGATTCACTTCAAATCATCAATAATTTAATAATTATTGTTCAATTATTTTTCAATTATTATAGCCAATTTTTATGGCCAGAACAGTATTATTTACGGTTTTTTATCAGTTTTTGTTTCAGTACGTATCATTTTTACTATTGTGCATGTATAGATTTTATTTCACGGGTCATTTCAATGATTTTTGTTTTTAGAAATAATCAAGTAAGTTTTAATGAGCGTGTATTCATTCGCTATGATAGATAAACATTATATTATGTAAATTGTACAATGTACTTTCTCAGGAATTTAAATTTTATCGTCCATAGCAGCACAGCATGGTAATTATTAATACTATTTTTATTCATTGAAAACTTCAGTAAATTTATGTTAGCAGTAGTATATTGGTTTGTTATCATGTTTGATATTTTAATGTTTATACTATGTAGTTGAATGTGAGAATGTATTTAGTTTTGATATTTAGATGATAATTATGCGTATTCTTCTAATTCAAGTTAGGCGTAAAATTAGCGATAGAGAATAAAGTTGTGGACACAACAAGAAAATTGAGAATAATCTTGTGCGAGGGTAGGGACCCAGATGTCGTTTCTAACCCAAATAAACTTTAAGGAGGCTTCTCATCAGTAGCCGCACCTCCTTACTCGGTTTCTGAACTGGAATTCTATGGGCTTCCAGACGGCCAGACCGAGTATTACCATTCCATCCTTCTAGAGTTCATCACAAGTAGCACCCACCTTGAAGATCTTTGACACCCAGACACACCCCATTGGCGAACAAACTTTGGATATAATCTTACATGCTCCCGAAGGAATCCCTGGTTTATGGTCTTTCTCATCGTCACCAGCACTTTCACTAGGTCACCAGCTCTTTCACTGAAGTCATCAGCCCTTTCACTGAAGTCATCAGATGTGACTCTGATCAACGGTATAGTTGTGGACACAACAAGAAAATTGAGAATAATCTTGTGCGAGGGTAGGGACCCAGATGTCGTTTCTAACCCAAATAAACTTTAAGGAGGCTTCTCATCAGTAGCCGCACCTCCTTACTCGGTTTCTGAACTGGAATTCTATGGGCTTCCAGACGGCCAGACCGAGTATTACCATCCCATCCTTCTAGAGTTCATCACAAGTAGCACCCACCTTGAAGATCTTTGACACCCAGACACACCCCATTGGCGAACAAACTTTGGATATAATCTTACATGCTCCCGAAGGAATCCCTGGTTTATGGTCTTTCTCATCGTCACCAGCACTTTCACTAGGTCACCAGCTCTTTCACTGAAGTCATCAGCCCTTTCACTGAAGTCATCAGATGTGACTCTGATCAACGGTATAGTTGTGGACACAACAAGAAAATTGAGAATAATCTTGTGCGAGGGTAGGGACCCAGATGTCGTTTCTAACCCAAATAAACTTTAAGGAGGCTTCTCATCAGTAGCCGCACCTCCTTACTCGGTTTCTGAACTGGAATTCTATGGGCTTCCAGACGGCCAGACCGAGTATTACCATCCCATCCTTCTAGAGTTCATCACAAGTAGCACCCACCTTGAAGATCTTTGACACCCAGACACACCCCATTGGCGAACAAACTACAGAGAATAAAGGAATAAATAACATTTACTGAATAAATAACATTTACTGAATAAATAACATTTACTGAATTTGAAATAAGAAAGAGGGATATCCCACAACTATGCATAGATTCAGAATTGGTGGTTTTCCAGAAACAGTCATCAAGTTCAGCTAATTAATATACACATACAAATCGATACTTTTAGTTCAGTCCATTATACGTTCAAAAATCCTCATAGTAAAGTATGCGGCAGCAGGTTTCAAGTTAAAACATGGTGAGGCCCTCTATTGGTATTCTCACTTTAATAGAGATTAAACAGAGATCTCAACCGCCAATTGTAAATCGTACTCGTTTTTTTTCGTGATGGTTATTTAAAGATAACTGCACAGTTCATCGCATCTAGTTACTTATTATTTTAGTTACTTATGCATCATTTACTCACATTCTTTATGGACTTAGTCATAAGTCAATACCATATTAGTTAATATAATAGTTAGTAAACGAATTGCAACTAAACCGATTTTTCAGGATGTATCCATGGTCGAACTGTGTTCCTACTGAACCAAACCCACCTCCCAGCGATGATCCCAGGCAATTATTCTTAAAGTCTTTACATGAAACGCCAGGATATCTGAGAGACGAGGCTTTAGTCAGCTCCCCCCTTTCTAGTACACAAATACCTTTATACATTGAAGCTGACCCCCCTCCAGATGCAGCTCTATCTACTCGTTATATTCATCCCCTCCACACACGCACTGGATATCATGACCCATATCATGATCCATATCATGATCCATATCATGATCCATATCATGATCCATACAGACAAGCACCATCGGACTATTACCACTCTATTAGTGAAACCCCATTTGATGGAACTCCTAGACCCCACTCAGAACACAACTATCCTGCAACTCATGATGGTAACACAGCACAGACTCAATCTGACCGTGTCACCAACACAGCTCAACCCTCTCTGTCAGAGGAGATTGTAAAGGGTTCAACACTTGAGGCACTTGTGTCGCTAAGTGGTCAGAAACCACCGGAACCACAGAAACCGCCGTACCTAGGACTGACCGTCATACCTAGGACTGATAATAGAATGCTTGTAAGTTCTATCATGGACCAAGATGCTTTATCATATGAAGCTGACATGAAAAAAACAGGGAAACAAGTTTATAAACGATTGAAACGACGTCGAAAAAGTAAAAAGAAAAGTGAAGAAAGAGCTCTAATTCAAATGTTAAAGGACACCAGCGGACATTTAATGTCACAACCAGCAAACCTGCCAGATGATATCGACGGTGATGAAATATCCGATATGAGTTTGAGTGATGACCAATTACCAGATCCTAACGCAAATTTCATCCATCCTACGGTTCAATTAATGCAAATGACTGAAATATTGCCCGTCCTTCCCAATTTCAGAACTCTTCCCCCATCTGAAAAATCACCGTTTTGTCAGACTGATCGTGCTCCTCATCCTCGTGATCCTCAGCCATTTTCAAAGAAGTTTGTTGTAAATCTAATAGCCGGGGAAAAGGCTGACAAGATCTATCCTTCAAAAAGTGGAGAGATTTACAAAACTGGCAGTTCCTTGTTCAAGTGTGTGGAGAGACCTTACTTTGGGACAGTGTTTGATAGTAAGTCAACAGGTTATCAATAACCAAATGGATTTTTATCTTGTCTGTAGTTATTCTTCTCTTCTCTGAAAGTTTTCTTGATCAATGATTATTTCAAACTGATTTAAATCATGCCGGGTTTGAGTTAATTTTGCCGACACCTTTTCTCTACACCTTTGCTCGCTCAGTGCGTTAATTTCAGAAATCCTGCAGTACATTCCGCTGCCAGACTACACAAAATCAGACAATGAACTGGAAGAGAAGACTAAGATATGTATAGGCCACCGGTACACTGTGTGGCTCGATAAATCAGAACCTGACTACATCTGCATGAGAAAGGTATTTGCGAAACAATTAACTAGACGAAAATGTTTCTCACAATATTATGAATCCAGCACCCTTTTAGTCTTTAAACTGAAATAGGAGCTCTAAATTTAGGGGCTAACTTTTTGTGCTTGTTGCATAGTCATCTGGAACATTATCATCCTTTAATGCTATCAGTGGGGGGGGGGGGGGGGGGCCAAGTGGATATTTGTAGATATTTGTAGAATGTCATCCACTTTTTTCGTGAATTATCCATTGACAATAATCTACAAATATCTACATTTATCTACAAAAAATGTATAGAAATTAGTGTGATTTCTTATCCATTACATGTTTTATCTATTGGTTTCCAGAAAGCTTCCAGTAATCATACATGTCATTAAATACCTGAATTAGGTTCCATATTTGATGTAACCACTCATCTATAATTTCATCAAGGACAACCCCTATATGCTTGCCTATACTTCTCTCAGTGCTTTGAATCTGACTCACCGTCAAGATCCTTCACTTGTTCTGGATCTGTCCTGCTTATACTAGTATTTTTTGAGAGAAGGATATTCAGCCACAGGACTTTTTCTGAAGAGTATCCATTTTCTAGCTGAGGCTTTCTTAGACAAGGATTTTAGTCCAGAGCAGAGAGTAGAAAAGGCTTGGTACTGCAAGTCTTTTTTTGTTCTCTGGAAATCTAATATAACTGATAGTTGTCAGTTTATAACTTGGCAGACGTTTAAAGATCTGAAATGTACTTGCGATGGACTCATTCTCTATCTCCTTTTTCTGCAAAAGTAACAACATACCTACTAGGATCTGATGCTAATGAACAATTCTTTGCTTGGATTCGAACTGGTCGCCGCACAAATCTCGATGCCATAACTTTAGCATACGGCTGCGAGAAAAGAAATCTTCGCTCAGAGCTCGCTCTTGCAGATGACATGACAGCCTATGCCCATTCCCGTGGACGCAGTATTTTCAGGGAAGAAGTTCCACTACCACACGAGACATGGAAGAATGATACGAAGGAGGTCCACGATTTGAGTTCAAGTGACATCAAAATAGATAGCTTGAAGAAAGCCATGGAACGAGGTACCAAGGCTGTCGTGGACGATGGTAAGAAGTTCAAGTTACCTTTCCTGCAAATATTTGAAGATGAAAACATCATCCGATTGAATGAGAGGAGGATATAAATGACCCTGCAGAGTTGACTGAGTGTGAGAATGATGAAGTGGACTGTCCCACTTGCACTGATGATACTTATAATATGTTAGAATCGGAGGAAGCAGATTCGGAGGCAGCAACTGAGGTCAGCACAACCCTCTTCGGAACGATCGACATAAGATCGGCAGAAACTCTGTTGCTGAACGGGGGAAAACTAATTTTGGGGATTTTAGCATCAGCATTCGATCAAGAAAGCGGAGCTGAGAGAGTTCAAATGTTCATGATTTGTTCGGAGCGAACAAAAACTGTTACAGAAATAACATTTAGATGGTTCATCCTCCTTCAATTCTCATCCTTCTCAGTGTTCCTACTCATCCTCTTCCTCATCCTGACATCCTCCTCCTTATCATCCTCCTCAGACCTCCTCTTCTTCAGGAGGGGGGGGGGGGATTTTAGCATCAGCTTTCGATCAAGAAAGCGAAGCTGAGGGAGTTCAAATGTCATGATTTCCAAGGGTCGGGTTAAGTTTGTTTCGCAAAACTATACTCCAGCAAAGTTTGCATGTCCTGCAGGACGGCTCAAGATAAATTCATACTAATTTCACAAAGCAATGATCTCTTGCCCATGAGGTGATTACGAAATAGTCAACCACACTGCTCCTTCTCCTCCTTGGTCCTCTTCCTCCTCCCAAGTCTTCCACCTCCTTATCCTCCTCCTCCTCCTCCTCCTCCTCCTCCTCCTCCTCCTCCTCCTCCTCCTCCTCCTCCTCCTCCTCCTCCTCAGTCCTCCTACACCTCCTCCTCCTCCTCCTCAGTCCTTCTCCTCCTCAGTCCTTCTCCTCCTCAGTCCTCCTCAACCTCCTCCTCCTCTTCAATCATCCTCCTCCGCAGTCCGGAGTGAACAAAAACTGTTACGGAAATGACATTTAGATGGTTCATCCTCCTTCTCATCCTTCTCAGTGTTCCTACTCATCCTCTTCCTCATCCTGACATCCTCCTCCTTATCATCCTCCTCAGACCTCCTCTTCCTCAGTCCTCCTCTTCCTCCGTCCTCCTCACCCTCTTCCACCTTATCCTCAGTCCTCCTCTTCCTCAGTCCTCTTCCTCAGTCATCCTTCCCTCCTCAGTCCTCCTCAGTCATCGCATGTACATTGTACAGTTCCTTCTCAATCCTCCGTCTCCCCATCCGCATCCTCCTCCTCAGAAAGCGGACATTTTTACAGGCCTCCTCCTCCTAAGTCTTCCTCCTCAGTCCCCCTCCTCCTAACTCTTCCTCCTCAGTCTCCCTCCTCCTTAATCTTCCTCCTCAGTCCCCCTCCTCCTAACACTTCCTCCTCAGTCCCCCTCCTTCTGATTCTTCCTCCTCAGTCCCCCTCCTAACTCTTCCTCCCCAGTCATTCTCCTCCTCTTTTCCTCCTCAGTCCTCTCCTTTTCAGTCCTACTGATCCTCTTGAGTGTTTTTCCTCCTCAGTCCTCTTCCGTCCTCCTCTTCCTCAGTCCTCCTCAACCTCCTCCACCTCTTTCTCAGTCCTCTTTTTCCTCAGTCCTCCTCCTCCTCAGTCATCCTCTTCCTCCTCAGTCCTTATATGTACGACACATTCTCATTTCTCATTTCTGAAAACAGTATTCCTATTTTTTTCCCTAATTACATGATGGCGTTTATTCAAAGGGCATATACTAGGATAGACCTCTGCCTCGGTCAAAAAAGCACCCCACGGCTTCCCTTGGCCTCGGTCTTAACTAAGATGGCACTCCTCGGCCTCGGCTATTAAGATAAAAAAGTACCCCTCGGCCTCGCCCTAAGCCGATCAGTGATCCTCATCCTCCTCAATATTCCTCCTTAGTCCTCCTCCAGCCTCCTCCTCCCCAGTCCTCATCCTCCTCCTCCTCTTCCTTCTCAGTCCTCATCCTCTTCCTCCTTCTCCTCAGTCCTCCTCCTCAGTTCTCCTCTTCCTTCTCCTCAGTCCCCTCCTTCTCCACAGTCCTCCTAGCCTCCTCTTCCACCTCCTCCTCCTCATTCCACCTTGTGACAATTTTATTTTGCCATATTTAACAGTACCTCTTTTATCTCTCCCTAGTCAGGCGGATGGCATGGTTGGAAGTTCAGACTGACAGCACCAGTACTAGAGATCAGAACTTTAGTCCCCCCCCCGCCGACCCCCATAATATGCAACATTAAATTAGATAGTTCCACCCTTTTAGATCATTGCTTTTCTCTATTGTATGATAGTGTTTATGGACCATAATCTCCATGTAAATACACTCAAATAAACATAGAAGAACTGTGCAAGTAGTCAGATAATATCATTAAAGCACTTAGCATATATAAAACGTGATGAAATTGAAGTTAATGCCCAGAAATTCTACTGAATTTTTGGAGATTAATGTAGATATTTGTAGAATGTCATCCACTTTTTTCGTGGATTATCCATTCTACATTAATCTACAAATATCTACAAATATCCACTTGGCCCCCCCCCCCTATCAGTGGAGCTGTCTCTTACACAACTAAAACAATGGTATAATCTAAAGTAAACAACCAATTTCAGTTGTACAGAACAGCACCACACCACGTGACGTCATGTCAAGGATTTTCACCAGGTCACGGCATCCTGCGGCTCCATGTACGTGACTCCTTCACCACCGAGCAGTCTCCCCTTTCCAACTCTCTTGTGATGAATTACTTACAAAAAGCGCTCCCAAACTGCCCGCCCCCAGCCTTGGAGTTCAGTGTACCACAGGGGGAACCTAGTAACATTCTGATAGCTACCTTTGTAGACTGTTCTACACTTCCGGTTGGTTTATATCTTATTCAGATTATTTCGTAATTATAATAGCTCCAACTACAAGTACGTCCTTACGGCTTACACCTTATTATTCAGGATTCTACTGATGACTTACTGATTAGAATTCGATTTAGGAGAATGTGTCCTCAGTTTCTCAATCGAATTTATTATTTTTGTGTAAATGTGATTCGTCGCCTTTGAAATTTCATGTTACTTTAATTTCAGAACGTCGAGGTAATTCACAGAGGTGTCCGTGGTGGAATGGCTTGTTCCATACTACTGTTCCCGCACTATATAGACTCAAACTACGGCGAGCCAACGTTTCCTAAAACTTTGCACGATCCAAGATTGAAAGAACTATTCAATATCTTTCAATTTAGTTTTCGTGATGATTTGAAGATTTTTAAGTTTTGTGAAAATAGTGCTCAGGGACAGTATTTGACAGCCCTAAATAGCCGAGAAGCTGTGTCATGACATAGATGAAGAAAATCTAAAATATATGGTTACAATTAACAATGAGCATTTTAATAGCAATATTAATTCTCCCCTTAGGCCTTTTCCGTGTAATAATACTCATGACGAGGGATTCTTCTGATGTAAGACGTTTATTGTCTATAAAGCTTGGTTTCAGTTATGCTGTTATGAATCAAATCCACCATTAAATGACTATTCTTTGTATCACTAAAATGCGGAAGATTAAAAAAAAATTAAAGTTGGTATATCAGCGCGACATTTTGTTAGGCCTCCTCGGCCAAAAGGGTCTTCTGCAGCGAGATTTGGAATACGCATCAATGTTAGTTTAGAAAACTCTACGCACTGGCACGCGCGCAATTATATATATCCATGCGATTCAAGTTGATTACGTAGTAGAGGCTCTTACGGGCAAATAAGGCACTCTTCTGCTGGAGCCCCTAGGCTCCTAAAATGATTGTTTTATGGACTAGTAAGTAGTGCCGCATCGATAGCCGATCTCAGATGCCACTATGGAGGCTGTATGGCCATGTGCTGACGGTTATTTGCTTTTTCCCTGCGCACCTTGCTAAATCACAAAGTAAACGCTCGAATTTGATTTCAAAATATTCACACAACTTCTAGATACCTACTTGAAAATATTACGTAGCCAGATTTACCTCTGTTGCTTATCTCTTGGTGTTATGACCATTCAAAGTTTCAGATTATCACGTGACACATTATGTCACAGTAAATGCGCGCAAGAAAAACTTTTACACATATTTTTGATTCGGCGCAAGCGCGTTCCGCAAAATTTCATATAATGATTCCTCAAAATGGAAACATTTTCTAGATGTCTGATTTCCCCAAAATTACCGGGAAACTGGTTTATTATGTTCTTTATCAGTTTATATATGCTGTAAAAGTGTTTAAACCAATCGAGAAGGGGTGGGGAGCAAAATTTGCCATAAAATCAAAATTTCATAAATTTGCCAGCAAGCTCAGTGTGCTATTAGAGTTATATCAAACTTTGTTATTAAAGTTTTTAGGATCTATTAGAAATAACTATCTCCATTTTCAGATTCCAATTAAAAGTTAATTGGAGCAAAAAAAAGGGTATTCGGAGACTGAAAATGGCCTTTTGTAAAATGGAAACATTTTTTGGAAACAACCTAATTTTGCCCAAAAAGGTTTCTGATGAGGTTATCTAGGGTCCTGATAGGTCAGGGAAGACATTTCCAGTTAATTGAGGCCATCACAGATACTTGGAGGCCGAAAATGGCCCTAAAAAGGCCTTTTGAGGTGTTTTCCAATTTGAGCCAATTAAATCCAGATTTTCGGCTTTAATTGGTCGGAACAGGTCCAAATTGTACCGGGTGAGTTCAAAAGCGATAGGACACATCTTGTTTATCGTAGAAAACCGAGATTCAAATATAATTTGAAAATATTTTCTTAAAAAATGGAAACATTTGATAATCCATGGGAATTTTTTGGAAACATCCCAATTTTACCTTAAAAGATCTCCAATGAGTTTTTTAGTGTCTTGGTAGGTCAGGGAAGACAATTTCAGTTAATAGGGGCGATCAAGAAAATTTGGAGGCCGGAAATGGCCCTAAAAAAGGCCTTTTGGGGTGTTTTCAAATTTGAGCCAATTAAATCCAGATTTTCGGCTTTAATTGGTCGGAACAGGTCCAAATTGTACCGGGTGAGTTCAAAAGCGATAGGACACATCTTGTTTATCGTAGAAAACCGAGATTCAAATATAATTTGAAAATATTTTCTTAAAAAATGGAAACATTTGATAATCCATGGGAATTTTTTGGAAACATCCGAATTTTGCCCTAAACGGTCTCTGATGAGGTTTTTTGGTGTCTTGGTAGGTCAGGGAGGACGATTCTAGTTAATAAAGGTCATCACAAAAACTCGGTAGCCGGAAATGGCCCTAAAAAAGGCCTTTTTGGGTGTTTTTCAATTTGAGCCAATTAAAGCCACATTTTTGGCTTTAATTGGTCGGAACAGGTCCAAATTGTACCGGGTGAGTTGCATAGTAATATGACACATCTTATTTATCGAAGAAAACCGGGGTTCCAAGTTCAAAATTAATTTAAAAAGATTTTGTAAAAAAATGGAAACATTTGATAATCCATGGGAATTTTTTGGAAACATCCGAATTTTGCCCTAAACGGTCTCTGATGAGGTTTTTTGGTGTCTTGGTAGGTCAGGGAGGACGATTCTAGTTAATAAAGGCAATCACGAAAACTCGGTAGCCGGAAATGGCCCTAAAAAAGGCCTTTTTGGGTGTTTTTCAATTTGAGCCAATTAAAGCCACATTTTTGGCTTTAATTGGTCGGAACAGGTCCAAATTGTACCGGGTGAGTTGCATAGTAATATGACACATCTTATTTATCGAAGAAAACCGGGGTTCCAAGTTCAAAATTAATTTAAAAATATTTTGTAAAAAAATGGAAACATTTGATAATCCATGGGAATTTTTTGGAAACATCCGAATTTTGCCCTAAACGGTCTCTGATGAGGTTTTTTGGTGTCTTGGTAGGTCAGGGAGGACGATTCTAGTTAATAAAGGCCATCAAGAAAACTTGGTAGCCGGAAATGACCCTAAAAAAGGCCTTTTTGGGTGTTTTCCCTATTAATTGGAAACGTCCTCCCTCGCCTACCAGGATACCAACAAACCTCATCAGAGACCGTTTAGGGCAAAATTCGGATGCTTCCAAAAAATTCCCATGGATTATCAAATGTTTCCATTTTTTAAGAAAATATTTTTTAATTATTTTTGAACTTGAGACTCCGGTTTTCTACGATAAATAAAATGTGTCATATTACTATGCAACTCACCCGGTACAATTTGGACCTGTTCCAACCAATTAAAGCCGAAAATCTGGCTTTAATTGGCTCCACTTGGAAAACACCCCAAAAAGGCCTTTTTTAGGGCCATTTCCGGCCTCCGAGTTTTCATGGTGGCCCCTATTAACTGGAAACGTCCTCCCTCACCTACCAGGATACCAACAAACCTCATCGAAGACCGTTTAGGGCAAAATTCGGATGTTTCCAAAAAATTCCCATGGATTATCAAATGTTTCCATTTTTTTACAAAATCTTTTCAAGTCATTTCGGACCTTGGAAATCCGATTTTCTGCAATCGACCAGATGTGTCCAACCTCTAAGCAACTCACCCAGTACAATTTCAACCTGTTCCAACCAATTAAAGCCGAAAATCTGGCTTTAATTGGCTCCACTTGGAAAACACCCCAAAAAGGCCTTTTTTAGGGCCTTTTCCGGCCTCCGAGTTTTCATGGTGGCCCCTATTAACTGGAAACGTCCTCCCTCACCTACCAGGATACCAACAAACCTCATCGGAGACCGTTTAGGGCAAAATTCGGATGTTTCCAAAAAATTCCCATGGATTATCAAATGTTTCCATTTTTTTACAAAATCTTTTCAAGTCATTTCGGACCTTGGAAATCCGATTTTCTGCAATCGACCAGATGTGTCCAACCTCTAAGCAACTCACCCAGTACAATTTCAACCTGTTCCAACCAATTAAAGCCGAAAATCTGGCTTTAATTGGCTCCACTTGGAAAACACCCCAAAAAGGCCTTTTTTAGGGCCTTTTCCGGCCTCCGAGTTTTCATGGTGGCCCCTATTAACTGGAAACGTCCTCCCTCACCTACCAGGATACCAACAAACCTCATCGGAGACCGTTTAGGGCAAAATTCGGATGTTTCCAAAAAATTCCCATGGATTATCAAATGTTTCCATTTTTTTACAAAATCTTTTCAAGTCATTTCGGACCTTGGAAATCCGATTTTCTGCAATCGACCAGATGTGTCCAACCTCTAAGCAACTCACCCAGTACAATTTCAACCTGTTCCAACCAATTAAAGCCGAAAATCTGGCTTTAATTGGCTCCACTTGGAAAACACCCCAAAAAGGCCTTTTTTAGGGCCATTTCCGGCCTCCGAGTTTTCATGGTGGCCCCTATTAACTGGAAACATCCTCCCTCACCTACCAGGATACCAACAAACCTCATCGGAGACCGTTTAGGGCAAAATTCGGATGTTTCCAAAAAATTCCCATGGATTATCAAATGTTTCCATTTTTTACAAAATCTTTTCAAGTCATTTCGGACCTTGGAAATCCGATTTTCTGCAATCGACCAGATGTGTCCAACCTCTAAGCAACTCACCCAGTACAATTTCAACCTGTTCCAACCAATTAAAGCCGAAAATCTGGCTTTAATTGGCTCCACTTGGAAAACACCCCAAAAAGGCCTTTTTTAGGGCCATTTCCGGCCTCCGAGTTTTCATGGTGGCCCCTATTAACTGGAAACATCCTCCCTCACCTACCAGGATACCAACAAACCTCATCGGAGACCGTTTAGGGCAAAATTCGGATGTTTCCAAAAAATTCCCATGGATTATCAAATGTTTCCATTTTTTACAAAATCTTTTCAAGTCATTTCGGACCTTGGAAATCCGATTTTCTGCAATCGACCAGATGTGTCCAACCTCTAAGCAACTCACCCAGTACAATTTCAACGATTTCCGGAAAAAAATTTTAGAAAAAGATTTTGGCAAAAATTTGCCTCCCCCCCCTTTTTTTTTTTGCCCGATAGTGCTTATGAAAGGTTTAGGTACAATTTTATTACCTATAAAACATTTTGAAACCATATACAGCTAATTTAAGTGGATGAATGTCAATAATACGTAATTCCCCTCCAATTCCCCTCCAATTCCCATGAAATTCCCATGGAAACAATGTTTCCAAAATGTTTCCAAATATGAGGAATCATAATATCCAAAATTTATATACTGATTCCTCAAAATGGAGACATTTTCTCAATTTCAGATTTCGCCCAAAACAGCCTAAAACTAATCTATCTTATAAGTTATCAGTTCTAATATGACATGAAAGGGCATTAACAGTTGACAACCTGGTAGATCTGGAAGTACATTACCAGTTATTTGGGGCCTTCAGGGGGAAAATTGGCCGAAAAGGGGCATTTTCGGGTGTTTTCAAATTTGAGATTTCAAAGCCAGATTGTCGGCTTTAGTTGGCTGGGACATGCCCAAATTGGTGTGGGTGAGTTGCATAGAGGTAAGTTACAAGTGTGATCCGTTGCAGAAATCCGGGTTCCCAAGATTCGAAATGACTTGAAAAGATTTTGTAAAAAGTTGGAGACATTTTGGAATCCATGGGAATTTTTTGGAGACATCCATATTTCGCCCTAAAACGTCTCCAATGAGTTTGGTTGGCACCCTGGTGGATCTGGAAGTACGTTACCAGTTATTTGGGCCTTCAGGGGGAAAAATGGGCCGGAAAAGGGGCATTTTCGGGTGTTTTCAAATTTGAGATTTCAAAGCCAGATTTTCGGCTTTATAGTACAGACAGATCCGTCTGAAAAAATCGATCTGCTGACACACTTTTTTCCGCCAAAAGTGATCAAATTGCATGAAAAGCGGAGAAAAATGATTTTCAAAAAAAATTAGTAAATTTTTCGTTTCAAGAATACTTAAATCACCAATATTTGTAGTTGGAGTTCAGTAAATCTCGGCAGATTTTAGTAATAATCAGGAATTACTAACTTTAAGTGGAAAGGTCTGAAACTATAAGAGTTTCATAACTAATTACAATACAGCCTTATCGATTTTCACAGAAACTGCACCAATGGCACAGTCAAGATCGAAACGATAGCCTGCTGTACTGTCATTTTATTGATTTCAATGATGAATCAGTGGGGTTAAGATAATCACATTCGTAATAAATAAAACCTCTGTAGGTACCGTCAATTGTGCTAATCTAAACCGACCACTGACCAGTAGCATACTGAAAATAAAAACTGAATTTACCGGTCCTAAACTAGTGTGTGTTAGACTTACTGAGTGGTAGTATAGTTAGTAAGCTGTAACATCTCTGGTCACTCATCAGCCGCACCTAGTTCTCCATTTTCAAAATCACAATTGGTCCCATATTTCCAAAATTTTCCTCTCATGAGATTGTGTGACCGAATCATGAAACTTTTTGTCAGCTTTTTTCATCTAAATTCTTCTGAAGTCAGTTGAGGTTTTATTTTTTAAGGTTTTATCCAACTCGTGAACATTTTTGTGGTGGGTAACATTCTACCTCACCACAAACAATGCGTGATAAGAATGTGTATAAAGATTGCTGTCCCTAAATTCCTCAAGTCTCCTCGGGTCTGCAATTAGAAACAATAGCAGTTTCCAGCAAATCTACAGTCTGTTTACACGTCCACTCCAGCATTTGCAGGTCACGTGACTGCCACGCGGTGCTGATATAATCTCGTTATAGTCAGCTCAGTTTCATGATTCGGTTTCATTGTTGTCTCGTTCCCTTCCGGCTCTCTCACATTTAACGAATTTAACTCGATATAAGCCTACAACATTGTGATAACCCAATCTACACATTCGTAAATATTCCTAGGATTGTTACAGCTAATTGGGTCAGGTTAGATAAACAGATATAGAGAGAGGAATGGAAGGGCTTATAACTTGTGTTCTGTTTATCTACCACGATCATTAGTGATCTGTGACTCGTTAATTGTTATTTACTTAAGGGATCCGTTCACATTCACCGGCTCCTGGTTTCTTTTTATTAGCTTCTTCTATTTCTAGTCTCATTTCAGAATTTTCATCGATAATTTATTAATCACATTGATTTCCGACTTTGCAGCCAAGTTTAACGATGTTGGTGGCACTGCTGATAGTGGTGCTTGTCACCGCCCTGTTTCTAGCCTGGTTCTACCTTTTTAGAAACAACACTGACATTCCTGTCTCCCCCGGTTCTAAACCGATTGTTGGACACATGCATCACTTCATGGACGTTACCAAGGACACTCTTTATCTGTACGTTCTCATTCTCACTGCGATTTTTCATGAAAAGTACTGCTGTTAATTCATTGTTTACATTATGAATGTTATTAAAAGTTGCAAACAACAATTGAAATATCCGACCATTTTGAGATCTTTTCAGGTATGAACAGCGATATTTCGAGATGACAGACCCAAAGAAAACAGGATCAGTGTCTCACATAAAGTTCTTTTTTCAATCGAATTTCTCCCTGAACAAAATAAAACAAATATTTATTTTTACGGCACAATCAAACAATATCAATAATAAATAAATCAGGGGAGGTTTGAAGAGGTTTCAACACTGTAACTGCAGCTGAACCCCTCCTCAAATCAAACGTTAACATCAACAAAAACTTCCAATACGATGCAGTTTCTGGGTAAATTAATTTCTTTCCTGTATTCTTAGCTTAATCAGATTGATTGGAAAATAAGTAATAATAGTAACATAAAGTGTAGCTATGATAGATTTCCAGATCATAATCAATTGCGATTTTCCTCTATATAATATGATATCTGTAATCTATACTATGTAGAAATCATCTAAGACAGATAGCATATATTATGATATATGGTTCCGGTTGTTTATTTTTGTATCCCATATGATCAAATCTTTCTAATTTACAAATATATCAGGTGGCTGAAGAACAGTGTCCTCGTACTCCCCGGACAAGAATGGCAAAAACGACGTAAGATGCTTACTCCTGCTTTCCATTTTAACATTCTGGAAGACTTCTCCGAAACGATGAAAAAACACGCCAGTTTGTTTGTCTCGATGCTGAAAGCGGACCCAACCAAGCTTATATGTGAAGTTATAGAGGAAGCCACATTTTATAGCTTATGCGAAACATCTTTTGGTATTGAGTTCGAAAGTGGGGAGGAAGCAAAAGCCCTTTTTGCTCCCATGGCGGCCCTGATGGCCGAATTTGCGATGAGAACATCTTCCCAAAACCCCTTAATCCAATCCGATTGGTACTACAACAGGACGCAGGGTGGAAAGCTTTGGAATTCTTCTGTACATGAGTTGAACAGACATATAATGGGAATGATAAATAAGGCGAAAACGGCATTGGAGTTGGGTGAAACTAAGCTGCACAAAGGAAAACGAGCATTCCTGGACCAAATGGTCTACGAACAGGCTGAGCGAGGGGAGCTTACTGACGAACAAGGTAAGGACTTTGATGATATTGAACATGGAAGTTTACCGTACCTAGGAATGGTCGTTAAGGAAACCTTGAGGCTCCAGCCCCCTGCTTCTATTATCGGACGCAGGCTAACTGAACCAATGGATGCTGATGGTCACATGCTTCCCGCTGGAACCAACCTTGACGTATCCATTTGGTGGCTTCACCGGGATCCTGAGCATTGGGACAACGCCGAGGAGTTTGACCCAGAAAGATTCTCAGAGGAAAACTCCCGAGGCAGAAACCCCTACGCATTTGTTCCTTTTTCTGCAGGACCTCGCAATTGTATAGGTCAAAGATTTGGCAATGTTGAAACACGTTTGTTCATTGCAGCTTTGGTTTATAACTTCAAAATGAATTCAGAGCAAGAGCTCGGCAAAGGATTGTTTAGGACTCTCCATTCTTGTTTCATTATTCCTGGTCCGGACTTCAAAGTTGACTTCGCTCCCAGGGTTTAAGATTCAAGATAAGAGATTATAAAATATGAAAAATACATTATAGAATGTTAAAAGAGTTTTAAATCAAAAGTAATTTTGATGTAGTTGCACTAATTATGTACAGTGATTATCTACCATATTACAATTCTTAGAACATGATTGGTGATGTGCTTTGAATGAATTGCATGCATACTGAATAGTTCTGAATATACTATCTTTTCATCATGCTCTGGCCTCTGGCTAACAATCGCCATTTAAACATCTTATCAGCACAAAGAATGATTTAACTTTAAGGGATGGCTAGAGTGTTCTTCGCTTATCTTGTTTAATAGGATGTATAACTTTAGGAGCGAATTTTGAGATTTCCGCTGTTTTTATAACTCATTAGCCTCGAAGTCTCCACGAGTACCTTAGTCCCAGTTGGTCTTTTGGTCATGTTTCCAATAATATATACAGGTGCTGTGATGGACCTTGAATAACTCGACAGTTGTTCTTCTTTGCTCCTATGACATGATTGAAATAAATTTTCGTGCACATACAGAATGAATGGTTAATAATTTAATATATATGTAGACCAAGCTCTGTGCACGGGATGCTTCCTGGAAGAATCCAGTTCTTTTAGCGGGGCACCCTACCTAAAGCCAAATTGAGATATAATAATCATATTCCTAGGAAAATAATCAGAAATCGAATACCAATCAAATAATATGATATATAGGAGTAGTAACCATATTTACTATGCAAAATGCCCCAACCACATAGTGTAAATTTATATAATATTCAAATTCCATATCATCATTAAACCTCAATAGTCAATATAATAGCCCAAGCAAAATTAAATAACTTCTTATATACGATACCTTACTGTCATACTACAAATTAATTAAACATTTGAATCTGTTAACCAGAGAATAAATTTCTAAACCTAATGCAAGTGAAATAATTTAGATGCAATAATGAATGCCTAATGTGAGTATCATCTGTCAATGTCCTTGTAAAACAGTCTGTACAAGAGATATGAGTAACTAATATAGAAGAAAAAACAGGAAGTTGACGTCTATTGAAAAATAAATAAAATAACTAGAATATAAATTAGAATATAAAATAACATTCAATCAATGTGTCGTCAATAAACTGTACAATTATCAAATGTTAAAACTGGGTGATACAGTCACCAAAAATAAATATTAAGTATTATAAGTTAATAAATTAAATGTGGTCTATAAAACTACCACTAGGTATAATAGGTCAATAAATTAAAAGTGGTTTATAAAACTACCACTGTGCGAACCCCTTCTCCAGTTAAAACATGTCAGCCATGTGCAAAATCAATCAGAATGGTAAGGTGGTAAAAAAGGGAATATCCTTTCGATACATCAATTATATATGCCTCAGATTTAAAAGAATTAGAAGATACTTAGTTATCGTCGACTATGATTGCAGTGTAAAATTTGTCATCCCTGATAATAGAATTTTTTAACAAAACCGCATCCACAAATCCATTGGTGTGGGTCGATTGGTACTATAATAGGACGCAGGGTGGCAAACGCTGGAATTCTTCTGTAAATGAATTGAGCAAACATATAATGGGAATGATAAATAAGGCGAAAACGGCATTGGAGTTGGGTGAAACTAAGCTGCACAAAGGAAAACGAGCATTCCTGGACCAAATGGTCTCCGAACAGGCTGAGCGAGGGGACTTTACTGACGAACAAATAATCGGAGAATGCAACACAATATTACTTGCTGGCCATGCCACGACTACTGGAACCATAGCTTTCTGTGTGTACTATCTTTGTAGGCATCAAGATGTCCAGGAACGTCTTTACAAGGAAATCGCTGACCACCTGGAAGGTAAGGACTTTGATGATATTGAACATGGAAGTTTACCGTACCTAGGAATGGTCGTGAGGCTCCAGCCCCCTGCTTCTACCATGGGTCGCAGGCTGTCTGAACCAATGTATGCTGATGGTCACATGCTGCCCGCCGGAACCAACCTTGACGTATCCATTTGGTGGCTGCACCGAGATCCTGAGCATTGGGACAACGCCGAGGAGTTTGACCCAGAAAGATTCTCAGAGAAAAACTCCCGAGGCAGAAACCCCTACGCATTTGTTCCCTTTTCTGCAGGACCTCGCAACTGTATAGGTCAAAAATTTGCCAATGTTGAAACACGTTTGTTTATTGCAGCTTTGGTTTATAACTTTAAAATGACGTCAGAGCAAGAGATCGGCAAAGGATTGTTCAGGAATATACAAGGTGTTTCGGCTGTTCCTGGTCCGGACTTCAAAGTTGACTTCACTCCCAGAGTTTAAGATAAATATAATATTAATTAAAATACAAGTTCTAGATGAGGGATTGTGAGATAAAAATTATATTATGTATAATTGTAGAAGAGTATAAGCTTACTGCAAGCCGAGAGCTATGGGGTCCAGTCAGGATCAGGAAAAGTAATTTTCTATTAGTGGTAAAAAAACGGGCACATTCTGGGACTTGCCTCATTTTGTTGTAGGTTTATAACCTACTAGGACGCGCGCCGAGTTGGATTCGTCGAGTATCACCCGCTAACTCATTTTGCTGCACAGAGTCAGAGTCAGAGTAGGCGTATTTTGAATTACGATTCACTTCAAATTATCAATAATTTAATAATTATTGTTCAATTATTTTTCAATTATAGCCAACTTTTATGGCCAGAACAGTATTATTTACGGTTTTTTATCAGTTTTTGTTTCAGTACGTATCATTTTTACTATTGTGCATGTATAGATTTTATTTCACGGGTCATTTCAATGATTTGTGTTTTTAGAAATAATCAAGTAAGTTTTAATGAGCGTGTATTCATTCGCTATGATAGATAAACATTATATTATGTACATTGTACAATGTACTTTCTCAGGAATTTAAATTTTATCGTCCATAGCAGCGCAGCATGGTAATTATTTACTATTTTTATTATTATAAAGGGTCTCAATAAGAGGTCTCGACTGCCTAGGCGTCAAACCTTGGCAGTCGGTAGTTTTCCTCTGGCCCGGGATCAGCTGACCCTAGGGACCAGAGGGTAAAGGTGTAGAGACTATGTGTATCTACAAATCTTTCGAGGTTGTTTTTACAAGAGACAGGGCTTGCTACGCAAGGGAAGAAAACCGGGAGAAACAATCACAAATTATACAAATAAGTATTATAAAACCTAGCAAAAAGAAATTAAAACAATCCTACTCCTACACTATTATTATTATTATTATAAAACAGGATCTTACCGACAAAAATGATTCTTAAAAATACCTTAATGCGGTAAACTGTACCCTTGAAAAAGATTTTCCCAACATCTGTTGCATGCAGCTATATCTCTAATTTCGTTCAATTCATGCAAGTTGTCCATTTGCAAATTTCTACTACTTAAATCACTTCTTAAAACCGATAACAAGTTCATTCTAGGTCTCCCCAATCTACCAATGAATAAATTATCTGATTCAATAGCAAAAGAGAGAGCCGTTTGGGCTGGGGTGTTCTCCATACTCCTGAGAATGTGTCCAAACATCTTCCACCGCTGGTGTTCAATACGCTTGGATAACTTTTCAACTTTGCACCTTTCATACAATGCTTTGTTGCTTATCATACCTTTAGGCCATTTGATCTTTAAAATGGACCTGAGGTGTCTACGATTTTTATTATTATTTTAAATCGAATGTCATTGAAAACTTCAGTAAATTTATGTTAGCAGTAGTATATTGGTTTGTTATCATGTTTGATATTTTAATATTTATACTATGTAGTTGAATGTGAGAATGTATTTAGTTTTGATATTTAGATGATAATTATGCGTATTCTTCTAATTCAAATTAGGCATAAAATGAGCAATCGAGAATAACATTTACTGAATTTGAAATAAGAATGAGGGATATCCCACAACTATTATAGATTCAGAATTGGTGGTTTTCTTGAAACAGTCATCAAGTTCAGCTAATTAAAATACACATACAAATCAATGCTTTTAGTCCAGTCCAATATACGTTCAAAAATCCTCGTAGAGTCGTAGTAAAGTATGTTTAAAGTTCCCAGCGCGACAGCAGGTTTCGAGTTAAAACATGGTGAGGCCCTCTATTGGTATTCTCACTTGTACCGCCAATTGTAAATCGTACTCGTTTTTTTCGTGATGGTTATTTAAAGATAACTGCACAGTTCATCGCATCTAGTTACTTATTATTTTAGTTACTTATGCATCATTTACTCACATTCTTTATGGACTTAGTCATAAGTCAATACCATATTAGTTAATGGTTAGTAAACGAATTGCAACTAAACCGATTTTTCAGGATGTATCCATGGTCGAACTTTGTTCCTACTGAACCAAACCCACCTCCCAGCGATGATCCCAGGCAATTATTCTTAAAGTCTTTACATGAAACGCCAGGATATCTGAGAGACGAGGCTCCAGTCAGCTCCCCCCTTTCTAGTACACAAATACCTTTATACATTGAAGCTGACCCCCCTCCAGATGCAGCTCTATCTACTCGTTATATTCATCCCCTCCACACACGCACTGGATATCATGACCCATATCATGATCCATATCATGACCCATATCATGATCCATATCATGATCCATATCATGATCCATACAGACAAGTACCATCGGATTATTGCCACTCTATTAGTGAAACCCCATTTGATGGAACTCCTAGACCCCACTCAGAACACAACTATCCTGCATCTCATGATGGTAACACAGCACAGACTCAATCTGACCGTGTCACCAACACAGCTCAACCCTCTCTGTCAGAGGAGATTGTAAAGGGTTCAATACTTGAGGCACTTGTGTCGCTAAGTGGTCAGAAACCACTGGAACCACAGAAACCGCCGTACCTAGGACTGACCGTCATACCTAGGACTGATAATAGAATGCTTGTAAGTTCTATCATGGACCAAGATGCTTTATCATATGAAGCTGACATGAAGAAAACAGGGAAACAAGTTTATAAACGATTGAAACGACGTCGAAAAAGTAAAAAGAAATGTGAAGAAAGGGCTCTAATTCAAATGTTAAAGGACACCAGCGGACATTTAATGTCACAACCAGCAAATCTGCCAGATGATATCGACGGTGATGAAATATCTGATATGAGTTTGAGTGATGACCAATTACCGGATCCTAACGCAAATTTCATCCATCCTACTGTTCAATTAATGCAAATGACTGAAATATTGCCCGTCCTTCCCAATTTCAGAACTCTTCCCCCATCTGAAAAATCACCGTTTTGTCAGACTGATCGTGCTCCTCATCCTCGTGATCCACAGCCATTTTCAAAGAAGTTTGTTGTAAATCTAATAGCCGGGGAAAATGCTGACAAGTTCTATCCTTCAAAAAGTGGAGAGATTTACAAAACTGGTAGTTCCTTGTTCAAGTGTGTGGAAAGACCTTACTTTGGGACAGTGTTTGACAGTAAGTCAACAGGTTATCAATAACCACATGAATTTTAATCTTGTCTGTAGTTATTCTTCTCTTCTCTGAAAGTTTTCTTGATCAATGATTATTTCAAACTGATTTAAATCATGCCGGGTTTGAGTTAATTTTGCCGACACCTTTTCTCTACACCTTTGCTCGCTCAGTGCGTTAATTTCAGAAATCCTGCAGTACATTCCACTACCAGATTACACAAAATCAGACATTGAACAGGAAGAGAAGACTAAGTTCTGTATAGGCCACCGATACACGGTGTGGCTCGATAAATCAGAACCTGACTACATCTGCATGAGAAAGGTATTTCTATGCGAAACAATTAACTGAAATGTTTCTTACAATTTTATGAATCCAGCACTGCTTTAGTCTTTAAACTGAAATAGGAGCTCTAAATTTAGGGGCTAACTTTTTGTGCTTGTTGCATAGTCATCTGAAACATTATCATCCTTTAATGCTATCAGTGGAGCTGTCTCTTACACAACTAAAACAATGCTATAATCTAAAGTAAACAACCAATTTCAGTTGTAAAGAACAGCACCACACCACGTGACGTCATGTCAAGGATTTTCACCAGGTCACGGCATCCTGCGGCTCCATGTACGTGACTCCTTCATCGCCGAGCAGTCTCCCCTTTCCGACTCTCTTGTGATGAATTACTTACAAAAAGCGCTCCCAAACTGCCCGCCCCCAGCCTTGGAGTTCAGTGTGCCTGATGGGGAACCTAGTAACATTCTGATAGCTACCTTTGTAGACTGTTCTACACTTCCGGTTGGTTTATGTTTTATTCAGATTATTTCGTAATAACAATAGCTCCAACTGCAAGTACGTCCTTACACCTTAAGACCAGGTTTCTACTGATGACTTACTGATTAGAATTCGATTTAGGAGAATGTGTCATCAGTTTCTCAATCGAATTTATTATTTTTGTGTAAATATGATTCGTCGCCTTTGAAATTTCATGTTACTTTAATTTCAGAATGTCAAGGTAATTCACAGAGGTGTCCGTGGTGGAATGGCTACTATTCCCGCACTATATAGACTCAAACTACGGCGAGCCGACGTTTCCTAAAACTTTTTACGATCCAAGATTGAAAGAACTATTCAAATTCAGTAAACGACCGGGGGTAGGATTTGGCCGGGGCCGGGGCCGGGAATGTCCAAATTTTGCCGGGGCCGGGAATTGGCCGTTCTGGAATTTGGCCGGGACCGGGGCCGGGGCCGTGAATTTAATAAATCCACGGTCAAGTTAGAACTTTTCAGGACTTAGGATCTGAACTTATTTTAATATGACAATATAATGTTCGTATCAATTGAACAGTTTAGAAGGTAATTAGATTTCATATATATTTTGGTAAAATAAATTTGTTCAGCTGAAATAGTAAATAAAAGTTGGCACTCTGGACACTGGACATCATCCTTTCAAAATTGAAAATCCTTTTTAAAGATTTATATGAAAGTTTTAGGCCGATTTCGATCAAAAATTCCCGGCCAAATTCCCGGCAAAAATTGAAAATCGGCCGGGGGCCGGGAAGAAATAGCTCCCTCGGCGCCGCGCCGGGATTTCACGGCGCCGGGAATCCCGGTCGATTATTGTTCATTCAATATCTTTCAATTTATTTTTCGTGATGATTTGAAGATTTTTAAGTTTTGTGAAAATGGTGCTCAGGGACAATATTTGACAGCCCTAAATAGCAGAAAAGCTGTGTCATATTTTATATGTAAAGAATTGATATCGTCAATTAAGCATAGGGGTCGTTCATATATTACTTTATAATTTTTTGGAACATTTGTTACCCATCAATCTATTATCCGGTTAGCAGTTAGCTGGTTTTTGCCTTACCGAAACCGGTTGTTAGAACTTACAAAACTTAAATAAAAGGCTGTCGGAACATGCTGGATTTTGCCATAAAATTGAAATGAATCCTTATTATTGGGCTTTGGTCATTATCAATTATAATATTTGCTACACGTTGTATACCTCTCGTGCACGCGGCCGGCCGGCCGCGCGCGCTTCGCGCGCGCTCAAAAGGGGTTACAGCGAGTGTCAATATAATATTGAGAAAGACAATATTATTATTTATCACCAATTCAATGCATAATCAATTTATATATATCCGAATAAATTTAATTTAAAATTAAATGATACAAGTATGCTAGCAGCTAGCGCGCTTGTATCTGATCAATATACACGCTGTTAAAATTTGTCATACGTTGTGTCGCGTTGTATGACCCACCGCGCACGAGTGCGCGGCTCCCCTGTATCGTCAGGACGATGGGGGTCGCAACGTGATACAAGTTAAAATGGGTCTTACCTTGACTATTGTTAATGATCAGGCCCGGCGAGCGCTACTTCGTAGCACTTGCCATCGGGAACATTTCGAGAAGAAAGCGGCGCGCGCTACTTCGAAGAAATTTAGACGAGTAACATCCGTCAAGTCTTACCACAGTACCACTCACATTATTTCAGTTGGTGAACGGACCCAGGCGCTCTTAAGCTTTTATGAGCCCTGGTTGATTGCTGAGAGTGGCGACGGGTCTGACATTAATTTTATCTTAGTTTTATCTATATTCTATTAAAATTCTAGTTTTGAGTTATATGATTTTTATACGATATCTATATATATATATATATACGGTTACAGCTGCTCGCAATAAATTATTGCTTAGCCGAATGCTCGAGAAATCGTGTGTGAGGGTTAAATGGGGAGCTGTGCAATATAGTACAGCGAAAAAGCAAAAACTCAATGGATGGTTACCGTAATGGGTGCCACATGCCTAGCATGAAATATTTACCTACTTACTTACACTTGTGTAGGCCTGTAGAAGCATTAGAATCGGGCGTTGCCTGCCACAGGCTATCCCGAATTTAGAAGCTTGCTTTCATCATCATCAAAAATTGTTAAATATGCTCGCTATACACTTAATTTGTAGATACCGTATGTATATGTACATATCAGCTCATAATACCAAATAATAATAATAAATAAATTAAAAGCATGAAGAGGTCCAAAACCAATTCAAGCATGACACCAGGTTGAACACATTGTCATCGGAAGCTGCAAGCTTATTAATCTTTATATTAATTCTTATAAGTCATAGAATAAAATTTGACTTGTTAAGAACGACAATTATTGCTCTTGGAGGAGAAAGAGGAATAAATAGTGGTAGTATAGTTAAAATATCAGATTGAGATATTAATTTAGAGCCAACAAATTGAATTAGCTACTTATACTTTGCTACTACTACAATACAAAGGGTTTTTATGAAAGATTTTTTTGAATTTTTATATAGGGTCATTGTTATATGTGTTTATTGTTTATAAGTCATAGTTTGGAATTACACAATAAGTTCCGCATTTCTAAGAGCTATACAGTATACGACCAGACCGATGATAGTAATAGCAATAGTACTATGTTTACAGTATGTACTGAAGGGGTATCCTAGGAAGTTTCTTGAACTTTTAATAGGTACCCCTCCTCATTTAACCCTCAATCAAGGTTCCTATCGTTCGGCTGAGTCGATTGAGGAGATCGCATAGATCCAATGAATTCTTAGCTACTCCTTAGACTAGGTGACACTGGGATTCGATGATGTTTCCTGTTTAGGCCTAGCAGTAGACAAATCAACAAGCATTATGTTGTAACCAGAGTAAAAAAGAAGTAACAAGATCAGAGTAGACAAGTTATTATCAGAAATGATATGCAATTGGCACATCCTACCTTATCCTTGTCACTAGTCCCAATTGGATTCACTTTACACAAAACATGAACGTTTACAATTAAATTTAGACGTACATATTGGCACGATATTTATTAGAAAGCAAACAGTATAAAATAATACGTGCGTGCGCGGCTTGAGCCGCGCCGCATAACAATTTATGCGTTTAGGGGCTGGAGTACGCGTGTTTACAGATTAATGAATTGTTGCATTGTAAATATTTAAAGTAGACGATATATTATGATTTAATAGTAAATTTTTCAAAGCTGGCTTTGGACTTAGGTAAAATTATAATTTATTTATTTAAAAGAAAAAACCACGGATAGTTTTTAATTTACATAGTGGCATAACTATAATCAAGTTAATCCTGTTTTCAAAAATGCGCGGCTTTGGCGGCCAGTTATTGACTTGTACATAAAATTGAATTTTAAATAGAAATGTGAATGTATTAAAATTTAAAACTTTCAAAACGGAGGCTTATAAATATTATTATATTATGATTGTAAAATAAAGGATAAAATTTTAAATTTGTTTCACTAAAATTTGTTTCACTACCAGACCCCTTGAGCGCGATTGCACCCTTGAGCGCGAGTGTGATACACAGTTGTTCCCTTTTTGGCATGCTGAATATTAATTATCAAAGCACAATAGCTCCTGATTCAGGGCACAATTGTACCTTACCTGGGGACCCCAGGCTACTATATTTATGCTCATAAATAGAGATTTGGGCTGAGCGCCACCCAGTAAAATTGTACCTTTATAGCATGCAGGCGCACTTAATCACTGGCAGACAGGCATGCTATAACTGTGATCGATAGAGTTCATTATTACAATCATTCCGTTGATATTCATATCACATTCATCTTACTATATATAAAGCGAGACGATATATATATATATATTTATCCGTGCCATTTTACTGACACCACGGCATCAACTTTAACGCAGATTTCCGCAAAAACCGTAAAATATATACAACTGAAACTTTTTTGACTGGGTCAAATGCTTTAATGGCCTCCAAATCAGCATGAAAAAAATAAAAAAAAGACCAAGAGGTAGAAGTTTTAGAGCCCAAAATTTGGTACCCCAAGTGGTATCAAAAACGCGAATTAAATAGGTAATAATTAGTAAAACAAATTTTAGTAAAACAAATTTAAATTTTGGTATTTATTAATAACAATCAAAACATATCATATCATAAAAATAAAGCCGCACGTTGGTTGACTGCCTCTGGCCTCAGTATGGTGAATAATTTAAGCTTGAAGGTGCCCTGCGCATTTACAGAACATTATGCGGCGATCACATGATCACGAGGACCTGTGAGCGCCAAATTTAATTTAAACTTTCTAGAAATCATACATCACTACGAGTTACTCATGCTTTTTTAATTTTTATAGGAGTGTAGATTGTCAGGTATTTCATTCATTCATACTTAGTCGGTTTAAAGCTGTTATATTTATGTTTAGAACTCACTATTGTTTGAACTATGAAAGCAGAACGTAGATAATGGACAATATACCGACGACAATACCAAGGACCCGAGTGCCGCATTGACTTTTCCGGATCCGTTTTTACCGAAGGCTTATCCACCAGTTACTCATGCTGCATGTATAGTCTGATAATATTTTGTTTTATCTCTAGCAAGCATTCTGTAAGTTGGAGTGTCGTATTTATTATAGTAGAGCCAGCCAACCTCCGCATTACAATCTTTTGTGTGCCAGGTTCGTTTATAAAATCTAATTATTTTGGTCTCTTGAGTCTTGACACCATTTTAGGGTTATACGGGTTCCTGCTAGTCATTCTAAAATAATTAGTCAGAGTTAACCATGTGTGTGATAATTGCATCATAACTCCACATTTAACCGGTGACTATTTGCACTTTTAACACTCAACTATCTCAAAAAGGTTCAATAATCACATTGAGAAGCAGGACACACTCACAGAATGTAAATTCATCATTAGAGGTGCAAGAAATGAATATTTTGTGATTTCTGGCTCATATCTGCACAATTAACAGATATAAAGAGATGAATGACTTAATTATGTGACATTTGACTCTTTTTGGACCACCTATTAAAATTTGGTTAACTTTCATAGCATACTCCTTGAGATACAAGTATTTTAAAATGCTTCACACAATTTTGGCAGTGAAAAATCAATCTCTAGTGCCACCTTTTTATGAACGTGTCCATATGAGGTTAACTTTCTAGAAAATAGCAATCCTTAATGAATTGAGGGTAAAGTTCAAGATTAAACAAGCTTTTTTGGTATTTTTCCCAAGAACACTGAGTGTGACCAGTGTTTTCGAAAAGTTGAGGTTTAAATTTTTTAGCTTAAGTTGTCAAACTTATGAGTGCAACATCTCAGAAACACAAGGTCATATTGTGATCTGGTTTTTTTCCTACTTGTTTGCCTCCAGTAGCTCAATCTCATTCAAATATGTTATGAAATGAAATTTTAAAACTAGAAAAATGATTTTTTGAAGCTCTGGTCTTAACCCACACAGTACATGCAAGTATAGTACTTAGTATAAATGTTCTTAATCTGAAAAAAATGTACAAACTTTTTTTTCTAAACACTGCAAATCAAAGTACATCCTTATTTTCTATACATAACCAAATTACATTTTAGGGTTTAAGCCTCCAGAAATGATAATACTGCACTCGAAATGGCACCATCAATAACAAGAAAGCCCCCCATGAAAATGGAAATGACTACTGCTGGTAGAAAACAAAAGGAACGATCTCGCTCCAGACAAAACCGTGAGCAGTTTCGCAATCTTATCGGGGAACTTTCTGTTAATGTCACAGGTAGTAAACTATCAACCAACAAATGTTTGATGGCTGTCAGCAAAACCTTCAAATTGTCTAATGTCTCCAAATGGCTGTCTGACGATTTTACATTGAAAGACAGTCGACTAGCTCAGTTTGCCTCAATCTCCAACTTGCTGGCTGTAGAAGGACATCTTGGTTGGGCATTTGACAGTGAGGGACACATTCTGTATGTGTCACCTAACTTCCAGAAACGACTGAATATCCAAGGATGCATCATAGGCACCCACCTGAGTAAACTGATGCCTGAACATGATTTTGTCCTGAGGGATCTGTTTGTTGATAATTGCCAGTCAACTTGTACAACCATCAAGAAGAAGAGCTCAAAGCTGGCATTTCGACCAAGTCCTACTCCTGCATACATGTATGGAAAAGTTCTGACGACTCACCAAGGTAATTATCTCAATTATCAGTCACATTTCCCAAAATTTTGGTTTTCCTCTTATTGATGCTTAGCTTAGTTTACATCTTTTTAAATAAATTTATCACGATACTTCACTTTGTGTAAATAAATCAAGCTAAGATCGTTTCAGTAAATTTGATTCTAAAAAATGTTTTACTTCCAGGTGACAAGGTGTATGTTGGCTCTGTAACGTTCTATGCTGATAAATCATCTTTCCACCACCAAAACTTTCAGTATTCAAACACTAACTTTGCTGAAATAATTCTTGATCAGAATTTTGACGTACTGAAGCGACACAAATTGTTGGAAAAGATGCAGAATTTTACACCAGCATTCAACAATTTTCTTGACAGTATCCTTCCTACTGATCTACCCAAGGTGATGGAAGCTTTTAATAATGCTGCCATAAAGAAGCAGTTCAACTTAGCATACAGGGTGAAAAAAGCAGACTCCTTGGACTCGATCATGGTCTTTGGACAATTTTACATGGGAAACACCCAGAATGGAAATAACGTTATTTCAGCTTTCATCTCACCTGCAATTCTCGATGAATTGAACGAAGATGAGCTCTATGTGCAAAAGAAAGGTGAGCCACAAATTGTCATCAAACAAGAGAAAATTGAGGTCACTGTGACCAAGAGGGACACACTCTCTCCTCAAAGTTCCACAAGCACAAACGAGTCTTCCTCATCTGAAGGTTATATCGATGATCTAGACTTGATCAGCAGTTATGGAAATCTCCTTCCTGAAAATGATCGAGATATCCTTGATGCTCTAGATGAAATCTTTCCGTCAGTTCATGACGATAGTACGGACGATGACTACAAAGATATGCCATTCCTTGAAATGCCCAGTTACATCAAGTGCTTTGACAGTTGAAGAGAAATTGATGTCTGACATGGAACCAAAATGTTCATTACAATTTGAGCGAGTTATGCAACATCCATTCAAATAATGGTTGTCTGTGTTTTTTACAGTGGAAGCATTGTAGACATCCCACCTTCGATCGAAGATGTGCTGCAGAATAGGTAATCATCTAGCTGCAGCACATGGGAAAATAAAACTATACAGAATACGAAGTAAATACTGTTTAATGATTGTAGTGACTCAGAATTCAGAAGTAGAAACTTAGAAATCACCAAGCTGCTTTCATGTCCAGGACTCTTGAAGCGCTTCATTTTAGACGTTACTAATTTAAGATATTTTATGCAGAGTGATTATCTGATCAAGGATTATCAACTCCACTTTTTGTCACTTTAAAAACATAGCGGTTCATATGCTGCTTGTTATGTTAAAGAAGGACTAGCGGGACATTTCCCGTGATATATGGCCCTCTCTATTTAATTATTTTAGTGTGATATTGCAATGCGGCCCCATTTGCCACCCTCTGGATGGCAATGTGTACTCAACTTGACCTAGTTCAATAAAAACCGTTTTCTGCCAGGATATGTAAGGTCAGGGTCCCTGTTATGTTTTATTTTATGAACATTTAAATTGATAATTGTGGTTTATTATTGACTTAAGACGACGACGGATTAATATGCACAGTGTGTCATGTTCAGTCGTTGTGGATTGTGTTTGTGTACCTTTACTGGATCGATGTGTCTCGTGTAGTAGAAAGACGATCGCATATATATCGAGTAATTGCTGCTGGCAGTGATAGTGTATATGTGACCTGGTTGGGAATAAATTGTTAAGTCTCAACCATTTTATAGCAGATATATCTTGTTTTTGAATTGGTTGAAATAATACCAATAATGAAGCTTAAAATAACATTTTCCAATGAAAAAAATCTGTTAAATAAAATGATTGAGGCTATTCATATGGGGAGGTTTCTTTCATTTTGAAAGAGGTACTAACGTGCAAACCACGGTTTATTACCTGAGTTCTATATTGTGATGGTAAGTAAATTTTACTTCACCGAAATAATTTACATTATAATAAGAGCTCTGTTATGTTTTTTAAGTTTTATCTGAAATTTCTGAAATTAGTATTCATAAAGATGAAAAAGTTAAGTGGTTGAGTTTTGTTCTAAGAATTTAGAACCCATTTATATAACAAAAAGATTTTGAAAACGATTGCTGCCGCTTTGATTAATATTTTAACCATCTAAGATAAGTCTAGAGAGGTGAATGTCATAAATTGTAACAACTGTTTTGTGTTCCTGCGAAATATTGGCATCTAGCCAGGTATATAGTCATGTATTACACAATGAAAATATAATTAGAGAATTTAAGGCTGTTAGAATTATTTTTGTCTCGGCCAGGCCTGGTTTGTGAAAGGTTATGGAACAATGTGTCCCGGTACAATTAGTGTCAGTATGAAATTTGCTGGTTACAGTATGCATCATACTTTTCATTCAGAATACCAATGTGCGCTATTGTCTTTTCATAATTCAAAATTTTAAGGAGAGCCAGGCTTAAAACATTTAATAATAAACTAATTGATTTTTACATGTGCCAAAGTTTTTGTTCAATTTGTGAGTTCTCACTCTTAAATTATCCTTCGATTTCTCGATTCGTTTACATAATATGTGGAAGCAACTTAAACAATAAAATTAATGAATCTACATACCAGGAAATATTGAATTGTATTGACGGTAGTACAAGTTAATCATACAATATTTGCCGGTAAGTAATCATCTTTTTGTTAGTATGACACTGTTATGGCAATCATCCATTAATTTTAAGATCCGGAAAGATCCGACAATGTAAAGGATTTTTTCGTGGTAAAACTTAACGGTCTAAGACTAAAACTGAAATCATCATGATCGTATCAATGATTAGGAGTTAGTCAATTCTCTTTGGTAATTAAGTTAATTTTAAAGCTGTAAGGAACTTGATGATAGTATATTGGAGTAACTTAGTAATGATGATTATCGTTAAATGTCTTAACTATAATAACAGTGCCCTACTTTCGATTTTTTGATGATTTGAGGTTTTTTATTCAAAATGAGTGGAAGGGGTGAGCTACGGAGTTAGCCACACATTGATTTAAGATGTTCTTAATGAAGTCGTTAGGATCCGGGAAAGGTGATCAGGTGAACTAAACCTAATCTGCAGAATTTCTTAACTTTCTTTCTATGGCCATGGCGAGAAGATATATTTTGGTCCAAAAAGTTGATTGTTCATGAATCAAGAAGCGCGTTAACATGCCTTTTTTCATTTCGTTTTGCCTGTAGCAAAAGGTCATGAGACTGCGGAATGTAATGTTGAAATGTTACATTCCTTTAGGGCAAGGAGATTTAATCCTCCTCTCGTCCTAGCGTGGCGTTTCTCTATTATCAAATATGAGCATTGAGCATTTATTAACCAAATGCACGACCATTTATGTGCATAATACATTGATCGCCTAACAAAAAATATCAGCAAAATTCCCGAAAACTTTCAATTCGTAAATCACAATGGCTTTAAATATTCTGTAAATTTGATCGCCTCTTCCGGATCACGTGGTAGGTACGGTAAAGTCACGTGGTGGCGAGCTATCACGTGATGGTTTCTAACATAATTGTCAGGAATGTACTTAGGATATTCGGATATCAGAATCGTCTAGGTATGGTCCTGTCATTTCAATCACCTTAAAAGAGGTGTTTTCAGAAGCATGAACGATTTCTTACGAGTATTTTATTTTTAGGCTACGTTCAGCTACAACATTACAACACCGTGTAGTGTAAACACGATACACTTTAAACACACTTGAAATACACTTTTATAAAGATCACATCTACCACCCACAACTTGAGAATAGAGATTGGAAAGTTTTAGCTGAACGTATTTACAATTGATTTGATGGTATCAAAGTGAACAGGCAAAATGGAGTGACCCCCAACCTGCCCACACAGTCTGCTTAAACTATTAAAAACGCAGATGTGTCTCCTTGGAATGCGGGGATATATAAATCTTGGTCTTTTAAATCAAGAAGCAGGTTGAAGGTTGTACCATTTTTTTCTGTACCTCACGGTGCCTCAAGTCAGTTCTTGCCTCTGTCTTATTAAAAGGACGACTGTTGCCCTAAAATATTTCCTCTTGCCTTTTGATGTTACATATGTTAACCTCCAGACGCCTATCACTTCGTTGATTTTTATTTTGTGAGCTTTGAAAGGAATGCCCTATTTTAAAACATTTCAATTATATAATGTGTTTTATTGACTTTGTAATTAGGAATCACTATCTTCCCACCAGGTGGTATGTACATTTAATAATGCACTGGTTTGAATCCAACTATTTGATGAACCATTCAACGATCTGTAGTAAAATTATATACTCCCAGACATCTGTGTTTCTGGATGTGGGAACTAAAGTTACTTCGTAATTAAGGCCTGCCAAATTAAAGCAGATAAGGCGGTCAGAAAAATATACAGCATAAAAATCGGTGTCCATATTTTTCAAATAATCAAATTGTACGTGTCCTGCCTCGTTATCAATCAAAGAGGGGAGGGGGGGGGGGGTGTCATGAGTATTTTTGAGAGTCCCGACGAAAATGCCAAATTCTCATTCTCAAAAATTATTTTGGAGTATTTTTGAACCACATTGCACTGATATGAAGAATGATTTGGTATATCACTATTATTGAGTGGAAATTTTTTGAGAAAGTGAGAAATCCATGCTGAATTTCTCAGATTTAAAAATGATTTTTGAGTGGACAATTTTTGAGAAGATGAGAAATCCATGCTGATTTTCTCAGATTCAAAAATAATTTTTGAGACATTTTTTAGTATTCCCGGCGAAAATGGTCAAATTCTCAGACCCCCCTATCGATGAAATTAAATTACTTAATGCTGCTAAAGAAATAAGAATGCCATTACCCCAGAATTAACCATTTTACACATTATTAAGTGATAAGTCATAAAGTTGCAATCATTTAATTGCTCCTATAATCACCCTTAATATTAATAACGCTCCATATATCATAATGAGGCAGATAGATACGCTCATTGATCAGTCATTACTATCCCAACAGACTTGGCTAAAAGCCTACAGACGGGAAGATAGCCGCCGGCATGGCTTCACCTTACCATATTGTATGATCTTAGTACCAAATAACATTATGTTCACTGGTTATAAGTATATCATGTTCACGACCTGCACCATGCTATATCTGTTTATCTGCAATCTTATCCTGTCGGAAGCATGAGCCTGTCTCTTGCTACTTTCCTCTGTCTGTCCTCTTCAATGGATCTAATCTTCAAACGGATTTTATACAGGAGGTATTTGTCTTTTTGTGCATTCCTATGTCGTGTGGAAGACAAAATATTCCACATTTCAAGTTCTCATAATCGGATTAATGTGTGATCTCTATTAACATTCCCATCTTTCTAAAATCGAATGAGATATATGCTATTTATCTTCATATATTGGGGCCGGGAGGATTTTTTCGGTACACGTACAAACCGGAACTCTTAAGTTCGTCTTTAAAATTCGACACTTAGGGGTCGTTCCCATCTCATTAAACTATATAAAAAAATAAGTATAAAGAATTAGGAAAAGGAACGGGAATGAAGCCAATACCAGAAGTGAAACCCCACCAAAGAATATAACGTAATCAATATTTTAGCAATTTTAACCCTCCACTCCCCCTTCCGTAATCAACCGTAATCAAGACCCAACCCCCCTCCTGACAGCAATATTAAAAAATTGGGTTTTTTAAATTTTGAATTCTCCATTTTGCCATTGGCCCCCCTATCTAATACGGCTGCTAAAGTAAGTAGTTTGAAAGGTGCTTGGCCGGATATAATAACAATGATTTGTCACTATCAGAGTGAAATTGAGTGGAATTAAAATATTGTCAAATTGTTTTTATTCTAGAGGGTAAAGAAACAAAATTTTGATTACGTAATCAACAACCAAACCCTCCCCCCGTAATCAACTGTAAGCAGTTGGAAACCCCCTCCCCTCAGCTGATTACTTAATATGTGAACGACCCCTTACCGAAGAACTTCGACAGGGGTGATTCCTGGCAACCTTAAGTTGTCGAACTAGAGTGCGTGTCGCGTCAGCGAATTCTTTTGCAATAAATATTGCCATTTTGGAGTTTATTTCCATTATGGGACTACCTAAGGTGAACACAGCTGTTCACTTTGCTATTGTAACTAATAGCAAATAAAAAAACTGATTTAAATTACATGATGTTAAATGGAAACATGGAAAGTAAGCGCAGGGGCTGTTAAAAATGTTAAAATATCCTGCTTGCACAGAACTACAGAACTTAAAAAATTATGTTCATGTTCTCTAAATAAATGAAGTCTTTGAAATGCTTTGAAACTTTAAAACTTTACATATATCATGCTTTGTTCCTTGAATCTTGATTGGAAATACGCACGAATAAGATATTTTAAATATTTCCACATCCCGTCGTCGGCTTTTATTGATGAATATTTATAATGTTATACAGGAATAATAATAATATGCAAATTTAATGCCCTCCTAGCAGACCTAACTTTGCTTTTTCTTGTCATTAATGTCGTCATATGTCATGTATGACATACGTATATAATTTGTTGGCACTATAATTGACAGCACCGTGAAGTTAACTTTCAGCCAAGTTTTGGCCGGCAGCCAATTCCTCTATAAAAGACTACCTCAATGGCTTACCGAATACCGTCTGTATAATATGTAAGGACAGTAGCTGAATGGCTTGAAGCTAATACAATAGTTTTCGTATTTACTTTACAAACTAACGATTAGTACTACGCTTTAGTAGCATACTAACATCATTCCATTCTTTATGATTGATTACCAGTGTTTGTTGTGGGGCAAGTTAGACAGTTGTGGGGCAAGTTAGACAGTTTTGAAGAATTGGCGGGCTGCTTTTGTAAGGCTGCAATTAATTACAGCTTTGGTGAGGTCGATTGCATTACTGTGATATCCTGGATAGTGGATAACGCTAAATTGATTTTAGATGAAAACTACTAGAAGCATGCCGCTCAAATGATAACGATTTTTTTATAAGTTGATAAATGGGTAAAAATAAGTTCTCCCTCATCTCTAATTCAAATTTCAAGTGAGTACCTCTCTTATCTAATTTCATCGTAAATTATCAGGGAACAGGACATTTTCCTCTTTATCACAACGATTCCTATTACAACATGTTTTAACCTGCTAAGTAGCCGCACTATCATTGGTAAGAAAGTAATACAGTTTACTCTTGATATTAACTGATTATTTGCCGGTTCCACCATGCATTTACGGTAATATTTCACCTGCCCTCGAACGCCTCTTTATCGCCTCTTTACCAGTTAACACTGAGTCCTAATGAACCATTCCAGCCGTTACTATAGAGTCCTCCCTCCTCGCATAAATTATGCTGCATTTCAGGGCGACTTCCGGCCACATATACAGAGTATGACATGTTACGGGCTATAGTCTATTTAATATTGTTAACAGACACGGGGCGAGAAGAGAGAAAGAGAGGTTCCAGGAGGCAGAAGCGTCGTACGGTCGGGGTGAGCAGGTGATGAGGTGATCATGTGTATTGTGTATATTCCTGTCCTGTTCCTTTAGATCTGTCCTCCTGGCTCCTCTGTATACCACAT